CCCCCCCCCCCCCCCCCCCCCTCCATCCCCATCCCAGCCAGCACTTCATCTACCTCAACCGAGTGCAATAGGGACCTTAATAAGCAACCAGAACGTTGACGTCGAGGACGTTAGAAATGGAAACTAGAAGTGGATGTTTTCTGTCTTTCGGTGCTCTGTCTCAACAAATTCGCACAGTGGAAGGTAAGATGAAGAATTCAGATTCGTTGTGTGAGACAGAAGCGTTCCATCATCGTTCCATCGTTCTCGTTGCTTAAGTTAGCTATTATGTTTGACACGAAAACACAATGTGTCATAGGCTAAAGATAAAGAAAGGTTAATTAGATTAACATTTCAAGGGTGTTTTCTTGTTTCTTTAATTCATTCTCTGGCTTTTTATTTGTATAACGATTATATCTTTTCCTTTTCATTTTTCTATACACTGTTTATATTCCTCTTTCTGTTCCGGTTCCTATTCCTTTTTTCCCCTTATTTTTCGTATATAATCTGAATAGGAATTAAATCCAGATTAACTTAAGTTAAGGTAAATGTTGTCCCTGCTTTTATACAGGTTTCTCTTCCCATTCCGGTTCCGGTTCCTGTTCCTGTTCCTATTCCCGTTCCTATTCCGGATTCCGCTTTCCCGCTTTCCCAGATGCCCAAGGTTTTTTGCCACAGAAAATTGTACAGCCTCGCGTTTAAAGGTATGAACTAGCTTTTTATATCCGTTTGCGCAAGAGTTTGCGATGTGTTTGTTAGATTTTTGATCTCGAATCAATGAATTATTGCTGATTTTTGGGCGATTAAAGTGATGCACTTCGACTTGATGAAAACAACATGGCGGCCCTAAACGATGAACGCGTAGTTCAAATCAATTTTATATTCCTTTCTGCCGTACTAACAAAGAAAAGTATTCTGTTCCAATCCAGAGTTAAATTTTTTTTTTTTCTATCTTGTTACTGAATTCATAACTTAACTCAGTCTCTCTTTAGTTCCTATTTTTAACGTATCACTCGGCGAATTTCATTTTATTTTGCTTATTTCTTTGAGACTGGTGAACCAAGGCTTCATAAAGCCTTCTGGTTTCTTCTGGGCTCCCATGCAACATTACAATTCCTATATGTATTCTTGTATTGTATTATATTTTGGCTAAATAAAAATGAACTGAACTGAACTGAACGCCTTGCTAAAGTTTGAAATCTCGGAAACGCGAAACTGCCAACGCGTAACTGCGGTTTGCGGTTTGCGGTTTACCTGATGCTAAAGGTCTCTATTCTTACTGTTATAATTGTTTTGTTTAACGTCGATGTCAAATGATTACACAGTACACATCAATCGTATCCTCATTATTTTAATACAGTAAAGGTTTACCTGCTTACCGATAGCGATAGCGATAAACTAAGAAAGTGCCCATAATCAAAAGGAGTGCAATGAAGGCAGCTATAGCCAATGTCGCCAATATAATGACATCTTTGGTCAGTACATTACTGCTTCCACGGTCTGGGCTTGGTGTAGGGTGAATCTAAAGGTGAAATAATAATAACAACTAGAAGTTCTCATTGAGAAAGGGAGTGCTGCCGTTAGTTGCGATGCGAATAGGACAAAGACAGTTTGTAGCTTTTTTATAGAACAGTTGAACATATGAATTCTTTCTTGTTAAAGTCAATAACTTAGACTTGTTGGCATAATGAAACACTCAGAGCGTAATAGAAAAAATGAACCGATCACGATGACAAATATGCTACCATTTTGTAATTCATTTAATAATTCACGAAATTCTAAAACAACAGCAGTGCTGATAGGCTGTTTCTTTACCGAACAATCATCGTACACAGGATGAGATGAGTTGCGAACAAATAACGTAAAGGCCAAAATTTGTTTATTCACAGGTCAGGTAGATGTACAGCACATGCCGTTCACTTATGTAACTTACAGTCCTGATTCCCGAGATAACAATCTGTGTGACAAAAGAATACTCGCTATAACCAATCTTGAAACCTAGAATAAAAAAAATAAACCGAAAAAAAGTTCCGTAAAATACTTCTTGAACTGTTCTTACCGTTTAGCCCGTTTAAAAAAGACAGCAAACATCCGATGGACTACGATTTCTGCACAGATCTTACCAAGAGAAAAACAGGCGCGGCATCCAAGCACTTGCTTAAGCAAACTGATGAGTGCACAGCGCTGCAGTCACAGATTGATTGAACATCGAACCATGGAACCATTGAACAAAAAATCTCAAATCGCTCAAGAATATGGTCTGCTGCCGGCTGATGCCCGGCAGCAATTATAAAAGTAAATTATAATTATCATACAAAAATCTCCCAGAATCCTATGAGGCATATTTTCTAAAAAAGCTTGATAACTTTCAGACAATTTTATACGTAGAAGACTGTCAGACCAGAACAAGATAACATTTGCCATTAAAGATCTTCCCCTGTCACATCTAGGGTTATGCGTCATCAGTCACGTGACCATTACCGAATTAGGTTTTTTTGTTGCTGTAACAAGATTTCATGGTCGAGTTTAAAACAAAGAGCATATTTGATGCAGTGGAAATTTGCAAAAAAGTAATGTTTTACCTGATAATTACTTTTTCGTGACCCAAAAAGGGACATGACGCCATCAGTCACGTGATCAAAGCGTTTTGAATGTTTTAGTTCGTTTTTAAAGTACATTTTTCGTCGTAAATTGGCAAGTTTTTGTTGTTTTTTCTCAACAATTCTTTACACTGTATTATCTTTGAGTAATTATTATTCCATTTTTAAAGCAGAAGTTTAATATTCGCGTAAATTGACCGACATTGCAAGTTAAAATCGAAAAGGAGACCTACTTTTGAGATTTTTGTAAAAGCCTTTTTAAACGTAACTGTTTGTTTGCCGAAAAAAAAAGTTCAACCTTTGTTAAAAAAGAGAGAGGTCATGTAGCAGCTCTTCTAACCGTAAAAGCCAAATGGTTTGCTATCCTAACCTAACCCTATCGAAAACCTATTCAAATTTCTTTTACAAATCATGTCCGGCATTGTATGGTCTTTTAGGTTCAAAAGGCAGGGAAGCCAAATTTTATGGTTATATTATACAAATTTTTCACTATCTTTTTTCTCATTGGCTAATTGTGCAAATAATGCATCATGATTCCAAATCTAAAGGCAAAATAGAAAACACAATTATGACCCAAACAAACCTCAGTTGTGACAACAGCTGGAGTGCCCGTGGTTACGTTTTCTGCCTGAAAATCAAAATTGCAAGTTTAAAGTTTCTAACCATGATTTGAATAGGTAACAGCATGATTTGTAGTGATATTTTTCATAAATACCACGAGTGCGATATTTCAAAATTGTCTAACGTAATTTCACGAGCTGTTAGGCGAGTGAAATTTGAGACAATTTTGAAATATCACGAGTGGTATTTATGCCAAATATAACCTACAAATCATGCTATTATTAATTTTTGTTCTACTACCGAAACGTTAGAGAATATCACTTAATTTTCGAGTCTAAACGCAAAAAACAGAACACATTTATGACCCAAACAAACCTCAGTTGTGAAAACAGCTGGTGTACCTGTGGTTACGTTTTCTGCCCGAGTGGTTGTTGGACGAGTTGGTGTGGCTGTGGTGCTGTTTATTTCAACAATTGGAGGTGGTAGAGTTGCGGATTGGTTTAACGGAGTCTGTTGAGGGATTGGACCTAAACATTTTCAAAGATAGTACGTTTAGATTTAAGCAGTCATAATCAGTGTGGTGCCCATGCTTCGTTGCTAGAAATTTATATCAAGTTGTTTGGGCAATTTACAAGTTAAGCGCTCCAATCTCCTTTGGTACTGTTGTTGTGGATCAACAGAAGAAAAGGACCTATTCACAGTGCTAAGCTGAGTATAGTGATTATCGTCAAGATCCCTTTCCACTGAGTTAATAGTGAATAGTAGTGAAACAAAAGATAAATGCCTACAGGTAACGTTTCTAGTCTCTGTGGAATCAGCCCAATTTGCAAATGGTTATTTCATTTAGTGGTCACTTCATGCAACGCTTGATCTTTTTTTTAGTTTGTTTACTTGTGTGCCATTAAATTTTCAATCAGTTTGATATGTACATCTATTATAGGTCTTACACTGTATTCTGCCAGGAACCTTGAACATAACGCAGGTGCCGTGAACTGTGTTGTTATGTAAATGGCGACACTGTACTGCGACTCTAAAGATCCTAGCGGGGTTCAAGTTAAGGAAAGATGAAATGCTGACTCTTGTCTAGAAAGGAAAAAGAAAATGGAACAAACTATCAGCAGCTAACTAAAAAATACCGCAAATCTGTTAAGCTGCATTTCTTGTTGTTTGTTTGTTTGTTATGCGATTTAATGGTTGAGCAGTAAATTTGTTAAGCTTTCTTTGCTTTGCTTTGTTTGTCTATTGTTCATTTGTTTGTTTGATTGTTTCATACGACATCTTTTTTTAACATGGAAGTAGTTCGTTACAAGATGGACTAGTCTATTACTTAAATCCCTTGCCGTTGTTCGTAGTGACGGGTTGTCGTATAAACAAGTCGTCCGCGAATACAGCCGTCTTTCATGGCTGCCTGACAAATGAAGCGTTTCGCGAGCGGCAGGAAGTCGACGGGAGGCGGTTGTATTCGCAGGCCATTTAACAAGGAGTCGTAGAATAAGGAATTATGACCTGGAGAAGATCATGCATGTTGTGGAGAAAGTCATAAATGGCGGTTGTTACTGTACCATTTACAGAAATGTCAACAACTGAAGATAGCCATGTCCCTAGGCGTTTTCGGCACGGTCAAACCTGGACTCTACCGCGAGTTGTGAGAACACCGAGAGACACTCGCCTTCACCAGACTTTGCGCAGATAACTGGGCAAGAGAGAACGCCTAGGGCATAGGCTGTCACAAAGGGTGTTCGCATGAAGTGTGATTCAGTACCCTTTATACCCACCGCGAGTTGCAGCTGACTTGTGTTCCAACCAGGAGTGACCTCTAAACTCTCATGTACAATGTTTGATGGTATCTTCCTCCAGGCTCCGTCGCAACCAATGTAATGCGCGTAGAGTTTCTCCCCAAAGTAAAAGCTGCATGTTTTGTTGGCAGGAACGTTGATGGTTTTCTTAGTAACACCCGTTGAGGGAATAAAAATTAATGCGCTCTCAGCTGTCTTGCCAGTGAACAGTAAATCACATCCTAAAATGAAGAAGACCGACGATGTTATTTTTATAAAAATTTAAGAAATGATAAAATATTAAGTAGGCATATTTCCCAATCGATTCACGAATACGCGATGGCCTCTCAGTGCTTACTCAGTGTATGATTAGTGTAGGTAATAGCATGATTTGTAGGGATATTTTACCACCAGTGATATTTCAAAATTGTTGTACGTAATTTCACGAGCTGTTAAGCGAGAGAAATTTGAGACAATTTGGAAATATTACGAGTGGTATTTATGTCAAATATCACTTACAAATCATGCTAATATTTGTTTATAATACTACCAATCAGTGATTCTAACATGTAGGTATTTCAAATTAAGCTGAAATACCACTGCTCTGAGCCAATCAAATTGCAGAAATTTCTCATGTATTAGTATAAGACTAGAAACAACAACAACAACAATAATTACTAGTAATAACCAAAGATTACGGAGTGCGGGGGACAACGATCGAAGGTCAAAACGCGTTTGCTCCAACGCTGTGCTTTGCGTAAGCTTCACGTGAGAGATAGTCAAAACACGCGTGATCAAATTGCGTTCTGTTCATTCCATTCATTCTTAGTGGATGTCCAAACGAATGCTGGGTACATGCCGGCATGCGACGCGTGCGTAATAACAACCTGGAGATTAGGATTGCGGGCTCCTCTTGTCGCCCGCAATAATAATAATAATAATAATAATAATAATAATAATAACAACAATAACAGCAAATTCACGGAAGAGGGGGCGATAGACGAATGCATACTCATCAATCGTGAATGCAAAAGTTGCATAAGACTCTTAGCAATAGTCCATTTTACACGAGTTACAAGTGGAAACGAGACTGTAGTTGACCAGTGTTTGGATACAACCTTTCCTACTTTAGAGGAAGAAAGGCTTGCTGCATATTAAATTAACCTCGTTTGCTATGGTTACCAGCTGACTGTTGGGCAGCAAACATCCCCCCCCCCCCCCCCCCCCCCCCCCCCCCCCCCCCCCCCCCCCCCCCCACCCCCACCCACCCACCAACAATCAACACCACACATCAACTAAATCCCAACACATATACAAAAATCAACTAGACAACACACAACACCACTAAACACCACACATAGAGACTATAAAACACATGAAAAGACTCTTACTAATAGATCCTTTTTAACGGGTTTAAAGTGGAAACAAGACGTGTGTTGTCCCGTGTTTGGATAAAACCCTTCCTACTTTAGAGGAAAAAAAGGTTGGTGGATATTAAATTAACCCCCTTTTGTATGGTTACCCCCGTGCTGTTGGGGAGCAAACACCCCCCCCCCCCCCCCCCCCCCCGCCCAATGTACTAAACAGGCATTTAGATGCTAAAAAATGTGTGTGATTTTTACACAAATCTCAACTTTGCCCCATAATCAATATTCAAGATAGTGAGTAAGAGAGGCGCCATTACTAACGGGGTCCATAGTCGGACTGCCAAGGCCAATTAGCATTCGAAAATGTGAGGCTCATCACGCCTTTCCCCAGAGCCGATTTCCTTGCACGTCCGAAGATTGGGTGAATATGCCAAATATAGATTGTCGGGGAAACGAAATAATTCAGTGCTGGAATTCTATGTCCTATTGCCTTTCACTAGGCCAGACAAAAAGCGTTACTAAGATATAAAGAACCTTTAGACGGAATATGACGGAAGAAAGCCCGAAAGCATGAAATTGGACGCTTTGCAATAAAATTCTGATCCGGCATACAAAAGAGAAAACATAACAATACAGTGACTCTTGACTAGTATTGATCGCCATCTAGCATTTACTTTATCACTTAAGCTACATTTAAGCAATGGCGGTTGTTTTCAGTGTGTTAACGCTCTTAATTAGCTTTTTCCCGAGCTTGTTTACGGTCCATTAGATTGAGGAAGAAGGAGTCTTCCAACTCCACTACCTTCCCACGGGAAACTCTGCTTTTATTAAATTTTCCGTTCGATAGACCAAAGTGGACCTTCCTTGAACGTTCCAAGCAAACTTGATATTTTGGCCAACGGTAAACAACCAAAGAATCCATAAAATTTTGGTGCTTGCTGATTTATAAATAAAAGTTTAAAATAAGAACTTTCCCTGATATTAAAGTGATGACCTTAAGGTATACACTGATGGCCTGTCATCAGAATATTCGTTAAGAGTTGGTACCTGTGTGTATTTATAATACTATCAATAAATAACTGAATAATAAATTTCAAAAAATAAATCTAATCAGTAGGACATATTAAATAACTAGTTAATCACAAATTGAAAGACTCCATTTTAGTGCTCGCTGATTTATGAATAAAAGTGTAAAATAAGAATTTCCCCTGATATTGACATGTTGACGCAGTATTCGCTGATTACCTGCCATCAAAATATTCGTTAAGAGTTGGTACGCGTGTGTATAATACGTGAACCTATTATAAATCAAGTCAGTATGATATGTTAAATAACGAGCTCATTTACAAATTGAAAGAGTGATTGGGTAGAAAAGCAAATAAACGATAATAAATAATCATAATCATAATGAAATAAATAATGCCATACTTAGTTATACACTGAGATAAAATCAAAATTATGTGCACAAGTTAATGACATAAGCATTTTAGCCCTCGTTATTATAGGCAGACAACTTGTATTATCATGTTGTTGAAGAGCCTGCACGTATTAAGGTTACACTTTTGTCTTATATTGTTTTGTTTTAATCTCTTTAATTTAGTATGCATAATACACGAGGAAGGAAGACTGCTCACAAAGATGCAAACTTGCTTTTAAAAGCAAAAAGCTCGTACACCGCACGGGGCTTACAAGGAGTAGGTTCTGTACAGGCATCACTGCTTCAATAACTTATTTAGGATAAAATAAAAAAAATTAATTAAACTAAAAATCGCGAACCTTAAACCGATAAGAGTACTAAAACTTGCCGACGCAACTTCCTTCGTCATACCGGTTTTTAAAAAGTGAAATGAAAAAATGCATTATATAATTTTCAAAGTAATCGAGGTAATCAACTGGTATAATTTTTAAAGTATCTATATCTCAAAAGTGTCAAATATTGAAAAATTTTAGATCATAGAGAAAAGAATGAGTTATCTGTTCTCCTTGGTGTACAGCTGCATAACAAGTCCTTGGATAGGGATATGGCTTTAACCGTGACATAAGAAGCAAAAACATTGTCGTTCTTTGTATTTCATTTCAAGAAAAATTGAGATATTGTTATAATACGTTCTTCCTGATGAAATATTACCTTTCAAATAAGTAATCAAAGAAGGATTTCAATTTACTTTTTCGTTTGTACAATTTTATACATCTTTAGGTGACGACAATCAATGTATTTTCCACGGAATGTTATGGTGTAATTTAAGCAAATTAGCGGACAAAATGGAAAAGAAGCAACCTAGAGAAGTTCATTAACTCTACTCGGTGCCAAGATTGTCATGCTTTTGATTGAAAAATTAAACCTAAATTTGATCTATATTTTAAATTTCACTTTACTGCTGCATGCTTGGCAGACCAATAGCAACTTAAATGTAAAGGGTCAAATTTTGACATAATAGCTCTACCATCATTAAAATCCATTTTCATCATTTTCCACAACACAGCGAGCAAGTTAACTTAAAAAGAAAAATTTATATCCGTTCCTTTGTATTAATTGACAGGGTTTCATGATTCCACAAATTGACTCTCGAAACATATGCCCTGGTTAAATAACACCACCACCACTATTCGATTGTCACCTAGGGTAATCTGATAGTTGCTATATTTCCAACTTTGCAACTAGATTTAAAGAGAAGACATTAATTAAAACGTAATGTACGTAATTAGCGAACCAAATGAAACTAAGTTACCTGATCTCTGACGAGCCAAGCTGACTTTCATGCAAGAATTGGTCGGTTCAAAGAAAGTGTATTTTTCCCCTCTGGATCTGCTACATCTACACCAACAACCTCCGAGGAACAGAGCGTTGTATTTACTGCATGAAGGAGATACATTATTATTTCCGTCAACAGGGCATTCAGCAGTATTTTTGGGCAGTTTAAGGTCGTCCTCTACCGCTAAACTCGGATCCCTGTCGATTTCGATTAACAACTGTGATTGAGCATGGACTAAACTCAAGCAGTAGAGCGCAATCAAATAGGAGACAAACGTAGCCATGCGCATGCTAGTTTGCAAGAATTCTACCTGTTACCAAAGGCAAACAGGCTGTAAGATAAATCGGTTAATAGCGCTTCTGAAAGTGCAATTCGTCAGATAAATCCAGACAGGAGAGAGACTACAGTCAGATCAATCAAAAAACCTTTCGAATATGGTGTTTGTCACAAAATGTTAAGTTAGACTTCCTCTCGCTAGAATGAACGCTTCCACGCGGCTACGAATTCCTGCTGAAGATTCGTTGAGCCGCACAAACGATAATTAGAACTCAATATCGAGTTAAAGGGTTTACATTATAGTTTCAAAAAACTCTTCAAATGTGGTGATATTCAGAATGACTGCCGCCACTCGAGCTACGAATTCCTGCTGAAGATTCGTGGAGCCGCCCGAACTGTATATTGAGTTGAAGGGTTTATATTTTAGTTCTCCTACTATAGGAAAATTACAAGAAGATGAATTAATTCACATCCGAGAGGGGTTGTAAAATTTCCTCAACCACGAACTCAGAACAAAATGTCAAAGGACATGATCTAAAGCAAACTCCGTTCTGTGAAATACAAATACGGAATCTTTATTCGTTACAGATTCTTATTTATTTTGAGCATTTTCTTGCTCAGTAAAAGTGCTTCAACCAGCCAAAACAATGAAGCAAAATTTTTGTGCCCAGATCGGAAAGGAATCGTATCATACTTATCAATACAACTGAAACACATGAAACTGCGCACCCATGCTGCAACTCCGACTGATGAGCCACTTTGTACAAAAAAAGTATATAGATTTAGCCAGGGCTAAAAGCGAAACTCTCGATAATATTTCTAGTTTGCTCAAACAAAATGTAAAATCGTGTAATGCTAAGCGGCGATAGGCAACGAGAACGGTGAAAAAACAACAATTGGTCTAATTAGCAAAAAAGCAACCTTGCACGCGCAGCACACTTTTTTTGTACATTTCTTTGCCTTTGTTTTGCACGACTACAACGTGAAATGTCCGGAAACTTCCTGGTTACACGTTTTATGGAGGAAATGTCGTACGTGTTCTCGTTGACTTTTTATTCACTGTCCAAGTGTCGCTTATTTTCACCCAGGTAGCCGGTAGCATTTCTCATTTTCTCACCGCCGCTACAAAATTTCATGTTGTTCCTCCAACAAAAAATGTCTCCTTTGTTTTTTCTATCTCGCTCTATGTCTTTTTCTCGTGTCCCCTGTCCCCTTACTTTCTCTTTTTCTTTTTCTTTCTCTTTCTCTGCTTTCAAAATTTGTGCACATGACAATTAATCTAAGCTTAATACTTTAGATAACAGCGATACAGAAACACTTTCCGCTTTCTGTTTTCGTCTTTATTGACTCTTTATTGTCTCTGCTTTACGACACGCGGGTGGCCATACGCTTTCCCGCCCAAATAATCTAATATTTCGCAACGGCTTACAAAAATTGGGTTTAAGGACGGTCGGCGTTCGTTTGCTACATCATAACCAACTTTTCTTGCTTTCATAGGTTACCAATTTACCTTAGCAATGGGGCTCCGCCACGCGCCCCTCGAACGCGCAGGAGCTCCGCTAAAAAAATGATAGAATTTTTATGTGTTTTTGGTAGTTTACTTTCAAGAGTGCAGACTTCTTATACTCCATACACAACAAAAAGATCGCGTTCATATGTAAATTCTCGAATTGGATTGTTAAGAAATTTTCTGGTCTGAAAGCAGGTGACAAAATAAAGCGGTGGTGGATCAAATGATCTTTTTCTTTTTTTCTCTCTCTTTTTCGATCTATATTTTTCTTCCTCAGAACCAATGTGAAAATTATGGTTAAAGAGTTTGTAAGCGGCGCATGATTTACTACCACTTTAAGTACGTTCATACATTGTACATTTATTATAAGGAAAGTTATTATTTTTTCAACTAATCAATGGAGATTACTTAGCTTTCTTTTTTTATTGCAAAAATCAGACCCTCTCTTTATTGAGTTCTCTAGATCATATTTTTAGTGGATCTTTTTTCTGATGACGTTCACGCATCACCTCCTTTTTCCAAGAAAGAGACGAGCGTGATAAAAATAGCATGCATTAAAAAGCCTGGTTCTCATATGCCGCCGATGTATCTGTAACGTAGCGGCCGGTACAGCCTGGGACACTTCTCAGACGAATGAGAACATGCGCCGCCGGCAACTGAAGTCATCCGGGAGAGCTCTACCGCCCGCATGCCTGCGAAGTTGAACTTGAGTCAGCTTCACAGGCATACCGGGGGTAAAGACTGGGATGAGCAATGTTGCTGGCCACTTCTTGTTCTCATATCGGAACAGTATCCCAGGCAAAAACCGGAGGCCATGTCGCAGGTGCATCGGCGGCATATTAGAACCAGACTTTAAAGACATTTTATATGGAACAGTAGTTTCAATCATAATAAACTGGTTCAAGACTTCAGAGGTAGCGCATCGTTTTATTACTACAGCTCTGTCTCGTGTGGCCAAAAGATGACCACCCCTCATCAGGTAATCTTGAACAACGAGTAACCCTTAGATTACAATAACAGGCAAAAAAAGCGGAAATACTGTTGCTATAAGATTATAAAAACAGCGTTGTTCTATCATATAAATCATGTGATTGCTATTTATAATTTGGGAGATTGCGTAACTTTATCATAAAGTTCTTGAGGAGATATCTGTTTCTGTAGGAGCAGTTTCCCATTTCTTTTTTTTTTGCGGGCGATCAGTCGATCCCGCAATCCTAATCCCTAGGTTGCTATTACGCATAATGCGGCAGGCATGTAGGAAGCATTCGTTTGGACTTCCCTTAAGAAAGATTGGAATGAAGAGAGCTTTATCCTCTCTTGATGGAATACATAGAAAGAAATCTGATCATTTTACCACTCGTAATATGATCACCCGCGTTTTGATTTTGTACGACGTGAAACGCAAGCAAAACACAGCACTGGATTCCCCCGAAGAAACGAGCGAAGAGACGGATGGCATTGCATTGGAGTAAAAGGGTTTACATCGATCTCACCCGCACTCCCTAACCTTCCGGATTTTTTTATTCTCTGACCTTTTAGTGCCTCAAGTTACTTCATTTCCCCCCTCAGCCCCAGGATTATTGATCTGTTTGCATGAGCAAGAAAAGTGGTCAGTGTCATAAAATGTACTGTAACCGCAGGAATGTATAGTTTTTATTATTTCATGCTTCTAACACTTTTGAGCGCAATGCGACCAGGTGATGCTAACGGATGTCATAAATCTACTATTTCGAATTCCCTCTTAAACAAAATTGGACTGTTTGGTGAATCAGCTACATAATCACTCAAGCATATTTGAATTTGGATAAGCTTTTAAGTTTAGATAATACAGAGGCAAGAAAACGTAAAGAAACTCCCTTGCATGATTATTTTTACCCCTATGTGTTCTCGTCAATGTTATTACAAATTATAGAATTAATATTCTAAATTAAAGTTCCATCATGAAAATACTGATAACCACTAAATATATCATACTTAATATTATAGAACAAAAGAAGCGTCCCTAGTTTCGATTTATTACTGAGAAAAAGCTATTAGTGTATCTGATAATACCTGATCAACCTTTCTCAGAATAATAGGCACGAAATTAAAACAGGGGAAGCTGCATACAACCAGATGTGACAAAGGTTGTTTCAGGTATAAGGCTTATTAAACTAAATGTTCGAACGACTAGTAACATTTTAAAAATACTGAATAATAATTAGGTGTAAATGCATAAAGTTTTGCATAAATTTACAATGACTAGGGTTTTTTTATATTTAACTCCTGGAGGCTTTGTAATACACAAGGTTTCAGGGTTCAGCCTAACCACAGTATTTTCTATAAGCTGACAAAAATAAATAAATAAATATTGTTGGGGCGGCAATCGCAGACGTATCACCCGCAGCGAGGGGCTAGACGAAAAGGCTGTATTTACAGGCTAGGCGCATTTTGATCGTCTCTGTTTAAAAGGGCGGATCCAAGAATTTTTGATTGGGGGAGGGGGGATCCGACTGTTGATTTTTTTTTTTTTTTGTGGCAAAATTACATCTTACAGAGACAACCACGCGTTTCTAAATCTGTGAACGCCGGTCGCCGTTAACGCGGGAAATACTGCTTTGCGAGCAGAGGCCAACAGATCACAGGAGCGTACCCAAAAACAATAATTATTTTGATTTTCAATAGCCCTGGAATTTAATTTAGAGGCGAAATGGAACGCGTGTTTCATTAAAAAATCAGCCAGTTTCGATGTAAGAATTTCAGTCTCAAACAAGCGTTAGTTCTGATGGGGGGCTCCGAATCCCCCGGACTCTCCCCCTGGACCCGCCACTGGTTTTTCCTTTTCCTACAGTGTCCTCTTCTGCTTTTGCCACAGAATAGACTATAATGGGGTAGAGGTCTGAGAGGCCAGTGGCACATACCCATCAAAAATTAAACCCAAGTAACCCCCTCCTTTTGTTTTGATTGTTAATCATGGTAATCCGTGCTTCTGTAATTTTCTTATCCACTGTCTATGCTGATGCTGTCAAGGTGAAGCCTTTTAGTAATCGTCTCTTTGGTACTGCGTGCAAAGCCATGCGGAACGCGTTCAAGAAACTTTACCTCATTACATAGCGTGTGATGTTCAATGCTGAGAGCGTTCTCGGAAACGAAAGTGGTTTGGGTTATGGAGATTCGTATATCAATATTAAGGCCCTTGACTCTGTCTCTACCTTCAGTCTCACCCAACCGTGAACTTTATATCGCATTCAGAGGGAATCCTGTGCAAACCGACCACGCCATCAAGTTTAGCCTAGTCATCAGCGTCTTTGGGCCGAACTAGATGTGAACTAAGTGCTGTTATCTTCGACTTGAAAACTGCGCCGCCTTATTGTTGTAGGCAGGGGAGAGGTTATTCACAAAAAAAAAGTGAATTTAAACCGGGTGCAGGCCCAATACTGATGCTCGGTTTCTTGGTGCTCAGCTGGTCATCTGCAGAAAAAGAATAAGGATTAATAGTTAATTAAGGGCAGATAAAATGTTACTCTGTTTCTCCTTGGAGATAACAGAAAGCTGCCGGTTAAGACACTTAACAATACCATGGGTACTTCCCATTGGTCAGAACTGACCGGCCACTGGAGGTCATTCCCGTCTTCATGAGAATTTCAATTTTAATCAAAACTATCCATGTATTAGCTTTCAATTTTAGCTGTTTTTTATTTCTCTTCAAAGTTTTTTCTAGTATGCATTAATTTTTGTAATGGCATGCAGGTGGCAGAGTACACCCCTGCACCCCACAAGTACTTCCCCCACCCCTCTATCACTGGTATGTCTTGTGATAAGGCGTTTTTGTGTGTTAGATCGTTGTGACAAAGAACAGGAATGTGTTACATGTCTGGGTTGATGATAATTGTCAAATACCTGCTCAAAACCTCCCGCACCGCCGACAGCCCAGCAAAAGGATGCTAAGTCGGGGGGGAGTGCGGGGGTGGTTCAGCAGGGCAGAGGAGGGAAGACTAGCAAAAGTTATTGGAAAGGCCTATTTCATTGTCAATGCCCGGGCCGGCCAGTTTGATGATTTCGGTTGGTGTGAGTCATACGCTAAACCTGACTTCATCAGTGTACGCACAAGGCTTCCTTTATATAAAGGCGATGTAGGCGTTCATTACTTGAAAGTAGTTGTCAAGATCTAAAAGGAAGGCGAGTTTGTTGCCACTCTTGGCCTCCAAGGTGAAGAGGATGGAGAGGTGCTGGTTATTCGGATGTTGTAAGAAACTATCTACGCTTCCGGAATCCAGGATCGTGAAGGTGTCAAGGTCTAGTCTAGGTAGCACTTCCAAGGTTCTTTACTTTTAGTATGATGTAGTTTTGCCTGTTCTTCGATATTACCAGTAACAGCTGAAACCGTACTCCTCATGGCTGTTCCTTCTAGTTTTTCATAAATTGCTCCGTTAGCCTGAAGTATATTGATCTTGATAGGAAAGTCAGGAGAACAGCAATCTGAGCAGGGATACATCGTCTCTCTGCAAGGCTGCGGTCGTTCTCCAGAGCGGCCAGTAGAGCAACATCGACTCTACGTCGAAAGACACTATGAGCTCGTTTACTAGGATCGTCTTACTGATGATGATGGATACTACAAAAGCTGAATTACTCAACGCAAGGTCCAGTACTTTAACCTGTTAATCATAGGAGACAACATTTTAGGAAAGATGGCGTATTAATCGTATGGAAAAGTATTAACCCATAACAAAGCAGGCACATTGGCCTACTAAATCTAAATTAAACCGTTATCAACTGAGTTAATAGGAATGTGAAAAGAATGAAAAGCAAACGTTTGGAGCGCTGGCCCTTCATCAGATTACGGAGCTGACAGACTGACAAGTTGGCAGGCTGAGAAGCTGATTGGCGGACAAACTGCCGGGCTGACAAGGTGACAGACTGTCAGAGTGAAAGACGGGCTGCCTGACAGTCTGACAATCTGGCAAGCGGTCAGGCTGACAGGTTGAAAGATTGTCAGGAATACAGGCTGACAAATTGACAGAGTTGTTTGGCTGACAAAATGACAGGCGAAGAGTCGCACAAGCTAACGATCAGACAGGCTAGCTCAGTGATCGGCTAAAATTTCAACAGGCTGACAAAACGACAAGCATGTCAAGCAAATTAGCAAGCATGTCAGTTTGTCTTTGACAAAATGACATGCTGATAAGTTTACAGAATATAAAAGTGAAAGACGGGCTGTCTGACAGGCTACCAATCTGGCAAGTGGTCAGGCTGACAGACTGAAAGGCTGTCAGAAGGACGGAGGCTGACAAATTGGCAGATTGCCGACGGAGCTGATTGGGTGTTAAAATAACAGGCGAACAGTTGCACAAGCTAACTAGAAGACTGGTTTAAAGGCCGACTTTTCACTAGACTGACATACTGACAAGCTTACAAACTAGACGCAAACAGATTAATAAGTTGAGGAGCTGTAAAGCTGACCTTGCTGTGTTCTATCTTCTCCCGGAGTCTCCATTTTGGAAGTGGTAACCTGTAAAGACACAAAACACATTAAAAACCAAAAGAAAAAAAATAAACAAATAATTCAATTAATTCATTTATCAGTCAAATAGTTATTTAATTACTTTGTTTCGACAGAAAAAAATTGACTTTTTGTCGGCTACAAAAAATGTTTTCGTTATTGCGGGGTTGGTGTGATATGGCGGAATCGCAGTCAACGCACAGTTACCCCACCATGCTGGGTTATCTTTCCAAACCAATATACCCACAATATAATTAACTCAAATTTTCATTGCTTTGCTTCGAAGATTGGCTTTAACGCTAGGAACTCCGATTATTTCTGTATTTTGACAGTAACCTTTGCTCATGGCCACTAACTTACTCACCCGTACTTTTTCTTGAATCGTTTCAACACCATCTTTTTTAGGTGGGGTAAGTATATCCGGCAGACAGGTAGGGAAATTTCATGGGAACTTTGAGAACATACACCTTTTCTGAAGCTCGTAAGACAAGATACAAGACAAACCTCAGCTGTGACTTTAGCTGGTGTGTCTGTCTTTATGCTGTTTGCCTTATTGGATGCTAAACGAGGTGGAAGGCCTGTGATGCTGGTTATTTTCACAGTTTCAGGTCCAGAAGTTACGGATTGGTTTGACGAATTCTGTTTTGGAATTGGGCCTAAGATATAAGCATATGTATATAAGTTAATAGAAAATTAAGTTTAAAACACCCCTCGATTTATTTTGTAAATAGCACTAAACAATTTAGCGGAGCTGTTGTAATAAGGTCAGCTAAAAGTAAACACCCCCCGTCGGTTATCTTAAAATGAAGAGAGAGACTGATTTATGCTTCAAACAGCATCAAGGGCTAAGTATCATCTCCTCCCCCCCAAAAGAAAAATCTTGCCACCGTTATAGAAGGCATTTAAATAATTATTTTACATTACTTGACGTATTTGTGACTACAGCTGGTATGCCTGTCGTTATATTTTCTGCCTGAGCGGTTGTTGGACCAGGTGGGAGGTCTGTGGTGCTGGATATTTCCATAGTTGGAGGTGGTAAAGTTGCGGATTGGTTTAACGGAGTCTTTTGAGGAATTGGACCTAAAAGGTTTATTTATAGAAAGTTAAGTTTAAAACACCCTCTGAATTCATTTTGTAGCTTACAGTATCAATAAGCCGGCCATTTGCACGATGGTGTCTTTGTCCTACTGCCAGAATCCATTTCCCTTTTCCTTCCACTTTAAGTCTGGCAATCCCAACCAGAATTAAGACAACGAAACCTCTAGTTTGCACGAGAAAGCAAGACAGTGAAGCATTCTAGTTGTTGTAGTAAATTGACGTCATTGTGCAAATGGCCTATTAGGTCTTGTACTGTGATGTGATGTACTGTGCCGGAACTTTATCTCTAGTTTTTTGCTTTGGTAATGGTTCATTACTGGGTAGAAGAAAAGCTGGCGATTCAGTTTAACACGGTGATTATTGTTGCAAAGATTCTTGTCCATAGGCACACTTTAGTGAAAATGAATATCAAACACCTTCGGCTGTCTTGAAATAGTATCAAGGACAAGGTATTTAATAAATATAGTTCCCGAAAAGTCTTGCCAGCTTTTTTAAAGACTTAATTAATATATACATAATGGGCATAAGTAGATCCAAATCAAATTAATTCGCAGATGAGTTTATCTTTAAACAACCCGACATTTTTGAGACATTTTGTTGCCCTTTAAGGGATTATTTTTCTTTCCATTCAGTTTACTATGAATTTTCAATTTTTTTTCCATATTTACAACATGTATATTCATGAATATTTATTAAAGGTCTTACACTGTATTCTGCCTTCAACCTTGAACATGACACAGGTGCTACTGGCGACAACGTCACGGTTTTCACGTTGTTGGCGACATTGCACTGCGACTCTGAAGATCCGACCCCGGTTCTTGCCAAGAAAAGATGAAGCTGTATCTCTCGTCTAGTAAGGTAAAACAATAGAATATTTTCTATAATTGTACAGCAAATAAAAAAGTGCAAGGTTTTCTGTGGATTTTCAATTTTATTAAACAACTAAAGGTGTACGTCCTTTTTGGCTTTGGAATTTGCTCCTTTTAAGGTGTTCGGCTACTAGCCTTTCTAAAATGAGCAATCAAACCGCTGCATATAAAAGATGTAACTTCCCTTCAATCATGGTAACTGGGTTATCGTGTTCTTGAACGATACTTTGGAATAATGAAATGATTTGTCTATTATTGGCACAGGAAATAAATTAAAGGTGTTGATAAGGAGTTGGTTGTATGGCGTTGCAACTGTATAGAGTGATTTCACTCACGTGGTCAGCAGCAGCTATGCCAATTCATTGGAAAAAAGGAAAGTTTTAACATAAAAATAACAGTTTCAATCCCATAATATTGGTTTGGAAAAAGAACAAGGCCATTGGTTTATTACTTTACTACACCAATATGGCGTGGGTGTGACGTCATGTGAAAACTCTCCACATCTACAGTAAGATGTCCCAATGCATTATCATTAATCCCAACTAAAAGCTGCAGTGTCATGCGACTACCAATACTAATACCTTGAATTGAAGCTGGTTTTTGTTCCAACCAGGAGTGATCTCTAAACTCTCATTTACACTGTTTGCTGGGATCTCCCTCCAGGCTCCGTCGCAACCAATGTAATGTGCATAGAGTGTCTCCCCAAAGTAAAAGCTACATGAGTTGTTAACAGGTATGTTGATGGTTTTTTTAGTAACACCGGTTGAAGGAATAAAAGTTAAGGTACTGTCCGCTGTCTCGCCAGTGAAAAGCAAATTACATTCTGTGACGAAAAAAAAATGTATGCGACAGTCCAACGAATGTATGAAATAAATTATCTGCAAAGGCCTTTATACCTGGTAAAGTGTCTGGACACTTATCGCTGCTCTTAAAAAAAACCTTTAATCAGGGGTGCCCAACGACAGTTTTCTCCTAAATACATTGAAAACACTTTTTAGGCTATCCAGAGTATATTTTTAGCTTTTTTAGAATTTTTTTAGTGCATTCTAAGAGGCGCTATAAAATTTGTATCTGTTCTGTCATCCTTGGGGAACTTTAGTCTTTTCGAAATACAAGGGCGCGAATATTATTTTCCCGAAAATTTTAGATGGACTTTGACGTACTCCATCGCATTTTTCAATCCGAAAACTTCAGGAAATCGTAGGGAATTTATATATTAGATATGCTTCGAAAATTGTACATGAATGGAAAAGTCATGGACTGAGAAATTTTTAGGTGTGCTCAAGTAAAGGAAAGTCCTAGGCAATATTTGCTTCTCCTAACAGATATTTTACAGAAAACAGTCGTTGGGTGCCCCTGTTTAATTTTATTGGTTTAGGGCTAACCCAAGGTATCAAAGTTTACTTTATTTATGTATTTATGTATTTATTATTGTTTTTACAACCAATCCTGTGAGCTCTTACACTGGAAAAATGTTCCGCAATGGAAAAGAGAAAGTATAATTATAGATAAAACTGCTCTAATATTGATCGTCTAGCATAAATTATAAGATTGTGATTGTTTTACCTCAGTTGTTTTGTTTCTACCTTTTTTGCTCGTCATTTAGCAGTTTAGTCAGAAACACTACCTGAATTATCATTTATCTAGGGAGCTTGTTTCCCACTGCCCTTCAACGGACATTTTCACTGTATAAACAGGCAGTGCTACTTTAAATTACTTCAACTACTGCTACTATCATCATCGAGTGCTACAACTTCCTGTTTAGAACGACCAGATTGGCTGTTCTACTCACATTCCGAGCTAAAAGGAATATTGGCCAACGGTAAACAATTCGGGAATTCAATTCGTCGTGTTACTTGTTTTGTGAATAAAAGTTTAGAATAAGAGCTTTTCTGGCACAATTATTACCGTGTGTACAAATTTCCCCCTTCATTAAGATATTTATGACAACTTCCTGTTTCGAACGACCAGATTGGCTCTTCTACTCACATTTCAAGCTAAAAGGAATATTGGCGAACGGTAAACAATTCGTGAATTCAATTCGTCGTATTAATTGTTTTGTGAATAAAAGTTTAGAATAAGCGCTTTTCTTGCACAATTATCACCGTGTGTACAAATTCCCCCCTTCATTAAGATATTTATGACAAGATTTATGGCAACAAAGTATTTCATCCATCAATACCATACAATATTCGCCGTAAAAAGCAGACGCGTACATCATAACCATTATTGCCAACCATTACTATAAAAAAAGTGATAAAAGGTTGTTCGCAAACACAGAGCTAAAAATATAACATTAGTTCCTGTAAATTCTGAAAACAATTTATTTGTTCTATTTGATTCAGGGTACCATGCCATTGTTCACGTAACAGGGCTAATCATAATCACCATCTTGTCATCATCATCATCAACATTATTGTCGGATTGCTCCACACAAAAACGATCTCTGTCTTGACGTATAATTAGAAAAGACCAACATGAGGAAGGAAGATTGCGCACAAAGATGCAAACTTGCTTTTAAAAGCAAAAAGCTCGTACACCACACAGGGCTTACAACGATTAGCTTCTGTACAGCATCAATGCTTCAATATCTCAATTAGAATAAAATAATTAAATTGATTGAACTAAAAATCGCGAACCTAGTAAGCCTATAACAGTACTAAAACTTGCCCACGCAACTTTCTTCGTCATAATGGTTTTTAAAATTAAAAGCGAAATAAAAAAATGTCTATATATAATTTTCAAAGTAATCGAGGAATATGTTATACTTTTTAAAGTATGCATATTTTAATAAAAAGTCTCAAATATTGAAATATTTTAGATCAGAGAGAAAAGAGTTATGATATAACTTTTCTCGATCCTTGGTGTACAGCTGTATAACAACAAAGTCCTTGGATAGTGAGTGACACGAGTTTAACAGGGACATAGGAAGCAAAATTTGTCGTTCTTTGTATTCCTTGATCATTTCAAGAAAAATTGAGATATTGCTATAATACGTTTTTCCTGATGAAAAATTACCTTTCAAATAAGTAATCAAAGAAGATTTTAATTTACTTTTTCGTTTGTAAAATTTATACAGGTGACAACAATCAATGGATTTTCTAAAGCATGTTATGGTGTAATTTAAGCAAATCAGCGGACAAAATGGCAAGGGAGCTCCTAGAGAATTTCAATAACACTACCCGGTGACTGAAGATTGTCATGCGTTTGATAGAAAAGTTAAACCTAAATTTGGTCTATATATTTTAAATTTCACTTGACTGCTGCATGCTTGGCAGAGCAATAGCAACTTAAATGTAAAGGGCAAAATTTTGACACAATAGCTCTACCATCACTAAAATCCATTCCACACAATCATTTTCTACAATACAGCTAGCAAGTTAACTTAAAAGGAAATATATTTGCTTGCCTTTGTAGTAATTGACGGATTTCACGATTCCAGAAATTGACTCTGCGAAACATACGCTCTGGTTGATTAACAAAACCAAATTGAATACTAGCTAAGTCGATCCTCCTTTTGACCTTTGATTAATTGTCACCTAGGACAGTCGGATAGTTGATATTTTGCAAACTTTGTAACTTAAATTAAAGAGAAGAAATTGATTAAAACGTAATGTACCTTAGCGAACCAAATGAAACCAAGTTACCTCATCTCTGACGAGCCAAGCGGACCTTCATGCAAGAATTGGTCGGTTCAAAGAAAGTGTATTTTTCCCCTCTGGGTCTGCTACATTTACACCAACAACCTCCGCCCAACTGAGCGTTGTATTCACTGCATGAAGGAGATAGATTAACAGGGCATTCAGCAGTATTTCTGGGCAGTTGAAGGTCGTCCTCTACCGCGAAACTCGGATCCCTGTCGATTTCGATAAACAACTGTGACTGAGCGTGGACTAAACTCAAGCAGTAGAGCGCAATCAAATAGGGGACAAACGTAGCCATGATAGTTTAAGAGAATTCTAACTGTTACCAAAGGCAAACAGCCTGTAAGATAAATCTGTCAATAGCGCTTCTGAAAGTGCAATTTGTCAGATAGATCCAAACAGGAGAGAGAATACAGTCAGATCAATAAAAAAAACTCTTCGAATGTGGTGATTTTCACAAACTGTTAAGACTTCCTCTCGCTAGAATGAATGCTTTCACGCGAGCTACGAATTCCTGGTGAAGATTCGTGGAGCCGCAGAAACCATACTACCGAAACAGGTAGACTGTTTTTTCGCAGACGTACGTAACAGTTGCCGTTAGCGACAAAGGTGAACGTTTTTGGTTATGTGTCTAAAGAGATGTTATCTCCAATTGCAAACGCACGTGATAACATTCTTTCGCATTTCTTTGCTCGCGCTTTGGCTTTCTATCGTCGCTTATCCGCTTTCGTTTAGTAATACAACATGATCCAGCTAAAAGTGTTCTATAATATTTCTTTTCCGGAAGATCGATGCGGACTAATTACAGCGGCCGAAAATGAGGTGTATACCTTCGATGATCTCATGAGAATCGTAAGGAATAAATTAGAGTGTTTACCACGGATATAAGACCTTCCTTGTTTGTTTGTGGAAAAGCCCGCCCCCCGGGGGGGGGCACTTTAGTAATTTCTGGGTGGGGATGTGCCGCTGGAACCCTGGAACCCTTGACCTATACCAGAGCTAGTTCAGCTGAATTTTGCTACCCTATACTAGAGTAAACTCCCAATATCCCCCTATCCTAGAGTAGCTGTTTCTCTTGTCTAGATAAAATCTTCAACCAACTGATCAGTTTCCTGAAAAATGATACCGTATTCTAGACCCAAACGCTCTGATTTATATACCCTATCCTAGAGTAAACTGCTTTAAAACCATACCCTTCACAGCGGCACATACCTATATAGCCGATAGATGGCAGTACCCCCCCGGGGGAGCCCGCCATCCTTTAATTCTCAGAAATGTGAAGGAATGCGATCACGTGTGGTTTCATTTGAGCCGTCAGGGATAGATCACGTGGGCTTAATTCAAATATGTTTCTCTGCAGAGGCAACTGTTTCGTGCGTCTGCGAAAAAACAGTCTACCTGTTTCGGTAGTAACTGGAACTGAATATTGAGTCGAAGGGTTTATATTTCAGTTCCTCCTCGCTTTAATAAACATATATGGGCGCTTTTGCTGGAAAATTCAACCAGGGCATATATTGATATTGTTTTCCAGTGGCCGAGTAGATCGCAAATAATCTTTGCGTCAGCTATGTGACGCAAATGACCCAATGGCTTTAACAGCAACAACAAAAAGTTTATCTGGTACAGTGCTGTCTTACTACATTGTGTAGGGCTAGAGACATTACTGTTAAAAGTGAGGTGTAGGTCAGTGAGGAGAACTTGAGAGCTGTCAATTTTGGTACTAAGAGAAATTACAAGAAGATGAATTCACTCACATCAACATCATTCTCGCCCTTAGAAGAAAATGTCAAAGGACATGATCTAAAGCAAACTCCGTTGTGTGAAATAGAAAAACGGATAATTCCTATATTTTGAACAATTTCCAGCTTAATAAAGTTCTTCAGGCATCCGAAAACAAAAAGCCGAATTTTTGTCCCCAGTTCGGAAAGGAATCGTATCTTACTTCTAGTGTGGGAAAATAACGTGCATTCTTTTTATCTTAATTCTCAATAGAACTGAAACACATGAAACTGAGCACGCACGCTGTAACCCAGACTGAAGAGTTACTTTGTACAAAACAATGAAAAAATGGCAGAATTCGTAGTGTGTGTCACGTTTTTTTGTAGTTTACTTTCACGACTGGAGACTTGTTATATCCACACAATAAAAAGATTGGATTTCTGGTTTGCAAACAGGTGACAAAATAACGAGGCCATATTGGTGGATAAGATGTCCCTTTTCTTTTTTTCTTTAAAAACAATGATTTTTTTTTTCGCAGAACCAGTGTAAAAATTATATTTAAAGACTTTGTAAGCGGCCCATGATTTACCATCACTTTTAAGTATTAAACGAAACACATACATTAGACATTTATTTCAAAAAAAGTTATTATATTTTTAAGGAATCGACAGAGATCAAAAATCAGACCCTCTACTTTCAGACAAGTTTGTCCATTACTGAGTTCCATAGTGTGTCAAGTGGATCTTTTGCTAATGACCTTCACACATCACCACTCTCCCCAAGAATGAGGCGAGCGTGATAAAATTAAAAAAGCGTTAATCTCTTACTCAAATATTATTTATTCAGTTTCACTTTTTTTTCCGCAATCCTAATCTCAAGGTAGTCTCCCACGCAGACGTTCTTCGGGGTTCGTCACGCGTTGCTGCCCCACGAATGTCTTCTGACTTGAGCGGAAAAAAAACATAGACCAATCACAGCAGACTTCCAGATCTGGGAAGTGTACTTTGGACCTTGAGAAATTTGGCGCTTGACTTTATAGCTCCAGAAAAGATCAGAAAGGTCTCATGAAAGGTGAAGATCGTACAGTTTTAGGACAAACTACTCAGTTAACTCACAAGCGTTCGTACTAGTGGTTACCCTCACAATATCTCCTTGAAAAAAGATTACCTGGGAGGTCAAATTTGCTGAACGGAAGTCAGCTTTACTACAAAACAATAACGTGGGAAAAATAATTCTGCCTTTAATTCGGTCTTACAAGGGTACCCGCCGTTGCATCACCCAAAGAACGTCTTTACGGGCAAACGACATCTAATCCAGCCTTTACAGAGAGAAATATACAAAAACCCAAAGCTTATATCCTAGATTCTCGTCCGCAGTAAAAATCTTTGGTCACGTATCTCTGTCCGCAGAACTTGTACGTACGTATGTGTTTGGCTTGTCAACACTTTGACTTAAACAGCGCCGATTGGATCTCCGATAATCTGCATGTGATCTCCGGCTGATATTTGCGAACAATGGGAAAGGAATTTATCTTTCGGTTCAGCAGACGTTCGTGGGGCAAGAACGCGTGACGACCCCCTAAGAACGTCTGCGTGGGATGGGATCGGGGAGGCTAAATCTCAAGGTTGCTATTACGCATGTGCCGCAGGCATATAGTCAGCCTTCGTTTGGACTTCCACTAAGATCAAATGGATTACATAAAAATAAATCTGATCATTTTGCCACTCGTAATGATCAACCGCGTTTTGATTTTGTACGACGTGAAACGTAAGCAAAACACAGAACTGGAGTAGTCTGAAATGTCATCCGTCTCTTCCCCCCACCCCCGACGAAACGAGCGAAGAGACGGATGGCATTGTCTCGATATTGTTTTCCAGTAACCGTAGAACAAAAATAATTGCATCAGGCGACGTACACGACTCAATGGCTCAAACAACATGAGCAAAGTGTACACCTGGATGCTAGCTGTATTACCATTTTTTTGAAGGGATAGAACCATTCCTGTAATGTGTGAAATGCCGTGGGACATAGGTACTGGGAGCAAGTTAATATTAAACGATAAATTCATTCCATTTTATCAACAGAAAATGTTCCAACCTTCCTTAAAATCTAAAATATGGGTTCCCAGCTCGGAGAGGAGTGATATCTCTTGTCATAAATGAGCGAGCAACACGGCACATTACAAAACTAAATAATAGAGAATGCAACCGAGCATGCATGTCGTGGTAAGCCAGTGAATGGCTGGGCGTGCTCTGAAACCGGAGAGGCCTAGGTGGAGTCGAGTGTCAGTCATATTTAGTCTGGAACCAGGCTCTGCTAACTCATAATCATAATGACCCTACCTTGCCAAGGCTTCCAGTCTCACCCAAATGTAAACTTCACCAAATCGAAGGGAAACCTGTAAACTAAGCCGTCTTGCTTAATAGGTAAGCGTCTTGCTGAGTGTTGTCTTCGACTTGAAGGCAATGCGTACGCCTTGCTGTTGTAGGTAGTGGTGAAGTTGCTTGGCAGACCTCTGACATTCAGTAAAACCCGCAGTGGTTCTGAACTCAGTCGAAGGTTAAGCACTGTTGCTTGGCTTCATAATTTCGGCAATAAAATTTTCTGCAAAAAAAAGAAAGAAAGAGGAGTAGCATTAGAAACAAGGATAGATTGGAAGATATTTGTTTTCTCCTTGGAGATAACAGATCGTCTGCTACAAGATGTCGGTGGGGCTGGTAAATATACTTAACAATAATACGTGTTATTGATTGTTGGTTGTGTAAAACACAGGCTAAGCCAATGACCCATCAGTGCATTACGTTAGCTGCCTTTATAAGCTGGTAAAGAGGTGTTCGTCCTGTTGCCTTAAAAACTGTGTGTCCAGAAGGAAGGTGAGTTTGTTGTTATTCTTCGTCTCCATGGTGAGGGGGATTCAAGGTTGATGGTTGTCAGATGCTGTAAGACGCTATATATGGACGCTAATGGGATCCAGAATCATGGCTTGTAGTATGATGCACTTTTTGCCTGTTCTTCGAAACTCTCCATGAATGTACACGTTAGCAATTTCAGCAAAGGCCTTAAGGACCGGTCATTATTTATCGCCTGGGGAATCACTTGATTTTTACTTCCCATGTCTGCGCCCTCTGTTGGTTAAATGACCTGATGCATTACATCGTAAGTATGTCGATCTTAGCTCGAAACGTACGACGAAAGTGATCTGAAGTCGTACTGTGTGAGTGTGAAAGGCTAAAGTCTTTCTCTAGATTTGGCTGCAGTGTAGTTTGTACAGCGGCCCCGATAGGAATATTTGGTGAGCAGTGACTTTGCGTCGGAAGACATACACCGTTTCTCCTTTTGTCTAGGATCATTCCACCTTAAAGGTGGATAAGAAGTTGGCTGAATTACGTTAGTCACCGCAAAGTCCAATTAACCTGTTGAAATTAAAGGAGGCATAATTTCAGTTTAGTAAGCAAATACATCATGTTTTAAGGTGTTAACGAATGACATTAGAGATCTTAAAAGTCTTCGGTAAACCGTATATTCCAGATGGCCGTTAGAACTTATCTCCCAAATTGCACATAATTTGTTGGACCTTAGGTACTTTATATAATACACACAATTATTTGTTATTTCCAAACTGCTTCACGTTGGAAAGAATTGCGTGCTTAACGTGTGCATCGATGTGTGGATCTGAAAATTCAGAACTGGCCGAGCCACCAATCATTTCCGTGCATACCACGTTGTAATAAGCTGATATGGCTGAATAGTACTGATTAATAGTGGAAATCTCTTTTGTCTAACAGTTTGATAAACTGACAATCTGGCCCACTGACTGAGAGACTGACAGGCTATCCACAGACTACCATAAGTCGACAAGCTGATAGGCTGATTGGCCTACTGTTTTGCTTTCTGAGAAGCCAAGAGACTGACAAGCTGTCAAGGTGACAGGTTGACAGGCTCACAAGCTGACGTAAAAATTTATTATATCAACTGAGTTGATAAAGCTGGAACAACTAACGTTTCAAACGCTGGCTCTTTAACAGATTGAGGAGCTGACAGACCGACAAGTTGGTAGCCTGACAAAGCTGACTGGTTGACAGACTGTGACGGGCTAACAAGGTAACAGACTGTCAGAATAAAAAGGAGGCTGACTGCCTGACAGTCTGACAAGTTATTACAGGTTGACAGGAAGACAGGCTGACTTGCGAACAATCTAGCAGGCTGACAGGCTTGAAGGCCGACAGGCTGACAGACTAACAAAGCTGATTGGTTAACAAACTGACAGGCTGAAAAGCTGTCAGATTGTCAGGATAAAACGGAGGCTGACTGCCTGACAGTCTGATAAACTGACAAACTATTACAGGTTGACAGACTAAGAGGCAGACAGAGAGACAATCTGACAGGCTGCAGGTTAATCGTCCGACAGGCTGACAGACTGAGTGACTAACAAGCTAACGTTTTGAAAGGCTAACATAAAAAGCTAAAAGACTGAAAGCCGATAAGATGAAAAGATGACCAGCTGATCTTGCTGTGTACTACCTTTTATCCCAGATGTGGTTTCCTGATAAGAGACAAAAAATAATTAAACAAGTTGTAGAGGAAAAAGTCCAAATAAATTAATTATTCACTTATAACTTAATCACTCAATTAACCAGTCGATTACGTTTGTATATTAATTCCTTAGAATTAGCATTAACGAATTGGTAGTATATAAGGTGGGGCTATTGTTTATTACCCTACCATGCAGTGCACTCTCGTCTTCTCTTAGAGATGTGATAACTCTCAAAAAGACAGTTGGAAACAATTCTTACTTCCCCGCAAAAAGGAACAGGAAATTTATCACGCGCGAACTTTTGGAAAACATTTCCGAACCTTAGCTTGTAAGATATTTGAGGGAGTATCGAATAGGCCACTTCCGAGTTCCAAAAACCCTGACTTTCAAAATGAGGCTAGTTGCACAACCTTTTCTTGTGAAAAAGAGTTTTATTTGCATGAGAATGAAAAATGATTTCCATATAAAACGCTGAGCAGCTACCCTCGTTTTGAAACAGAGGCCCGGGTGAACTCGGAAATGGCTTATTGCCTCATATAAGATTTTCGAAGATAGTCTTGGATTGGATTCCAGGTACAGGATTCCGGATTCTTTGTCACTGAAACTGGGATTCTGGATTTCTGTGCTTAGCGGGATTCCGGATTCCGTGAGCTGAGTTGCCGATTCTAAAGCCCAGGATTCTGAATTTTATTAGCAAAAACTTCCAATATTATATCGGAATTCGGAATAGCTTACACGAGGAGAATGAAACTACTATTCTTTCCAAACCTCAGTTGTTACTACGGCTTGTGTGCATGTTGTTACCTTTTCTGCCAGAGTGGTTGGGCGAGGTGGGAATCCTGTGGTGCTGGTTATTTCCAAAGTTGGAGGTGGTAAAGTTGCAATATCCACACAATAAAAAGATTGGATTTCTGGTTTGCAAACAGGTGACAAAATAACGAGGCCATATTGGTGGATAAGATGTCCCTTTTCTTTTTTTCTTTAAAAACAATGATTTTTTTTTTCGCAGAACCAATGTAAAAATTATATTTAAAGACTTTGTAAGCGGCCCATGATTTACCATCACTTTTAAGTATTAAACGAAACACATACATTTCTACACATTTATTTCAAAAAAAGTTATTATATTTTTAAGGAATCGACAGAGATCAAAAATCAGACCCTCTATTTTCAGACAAGTTTGTCCATTACTGAGTTCCATAGTGTGTCAAGTGGATCTTTTGCTAATGACCTTCACACATCACCTCTCTCTCCAAGAATGAGGCGAGCGTGATAAAATTAAAAAAGCGTTAATCTCTTACTCAAATATTATTTATTCAGTTTCACTTTTTTTTTTCCGCAATCCTAATCTCAAGGTAGTCTCCCACGCAGACGTTCTTCGGGGTTCGTCACGCGTTCCTGCCCCACGAACGTCTTCTGACTTGAGCGGAAAAAAACATAGACCAATCACAGCAGACTTCCAGATCTGGGAAGTGTACTTTGGACCTTGAGAAATTTCGCGCTTGACTTTATTGCTCCAGAAAAGATCAGAAAGGTCTCATGAAAGGTGAAGATCGTACAGTTTTAGGACAAACTAAGTGTCGAGTGTCAGTCATATTTAGTCTGGAACCAGGCTCTGCTAACTCATAATCATAATGACTCTACCTTGCCAAGGCTTCCAGTCTCACCCAAATGTAAACTTCACCAAATCGAAGGGAAACCTGTAAACTAAGCCGTCTTGCTTAATAGGTAAACGTCTTGCTGAGTGTTGTCTTCGACTTGAAGGCAATGCGTACGCCTTGCTGTTGTAGGTAGTGGTGAAGTTGCTTGGCAGACCTCTGGCATTCGGTAAAACCCGCAGTGGTTCTGAACTCAGTCGAAGGTTAAGCACTGTTGCTTGGCTTCATAATTTCGGCAATAAAATTTTCTGCAAAAAAAAAAAAGAAAGAGGAGTAGCATTAGAAACAAGGACAGATTGGAAGATATTTGTTTTCTCCCTGGAGATAACAGATCGTCTGCTACAAGATGTCGGTGGGGCTGGTAAATATACTTAACAATAATACGTGTTATTGATAGTTGGTTGTGTAAAACACAGGCTAAGCCAATGACCCATCAGTGCATTACGTTAGCTGCCTTTATAAGCTGGTAAAGAGGTGTTCGTCCTGTTGCCTTAAAAACTGTGTGTCCAGAAGGAAAGTGAGTTTGTTGTTATTCTTCGTCTCCATGGTGAGGGGGATTCAAGGTTGATGGTTGTCAGATGCTGTAAGACGCTATATATGGACGCTAATGGGATCCAGAATCATGGCTTGTAGTATGATGCACTTTTTGCCTGTTCTTCGAAACTCTCCATGAATGTACAGGTTAGCAATTTCAGCAAAGGCCTTAAGGACCGGTCATTATTTATCGCCTGGGAAATCACTTGATTTTTACTTCCCATGTCTGCGCCCTCTGTTGGTTAAATGACCTGATGCATTACATCGTAAGTATGTCGATCTTAGCTCGAAACGTACGACGAAAGTGATCTGAAGTCGTACTGTGTGAGTGTGAAAGGCTAAAGTCTTTCTCTAGATTTGGCTGCAGCGTAGTTTGTACAGCGGCCCCGATAGGAATATTTGGTGAGCAGTGACTTTGCGTCGGAAGACATACACCGTTTCTCCTTTTGTCTAGGATCATTCCACCTTAAAGGTGGATAAGAAGTTGGCTGAATTACGTTAGTCACCGCAAAGTCCAATTAACCTGTTGAAATTAAAGGAGGCATAATTTCAGTTTAGTAAGCAAATACATCATGTTTAAAGGTGTTAACGAATGACATTAGAGATCTTAAAAGTCTTCGGTAAACCGTATATTCCAGATGGCCGTTAGAACTTATCTCCCAAATTGCACATAATTTGTTGGACCTTAGGTACTTTATATAATACACACAATTATTTGTTATTTCCAAACTGCTTCACGTTGGAAAGAATTGCGTGCTTAACGTGTGCATCGATGTGTGGATCTGAAAATTCAGAACTGGCCGAGCCACCAATCATTTCCGTGCATACCACGTTGTAATAAGCTGATATGGCTGAATAGTACTGATTAATAGTGGAAATCTCTTTTGTCTAACAGTTTGATAAACTGACAATCTGGCCCACTGACTGAGAGACTGACAGGCTATCCACAGACTACCATAAGTCGACAAGCTGATAGGCTGATTGGCCTACTGTTTTGCTTTCTGAGAAGCCAAGAGACTGACAAGCTGTCAAGGTGACAGGTTGACAGGCTCACAAGCTGACGTAAAAATTTATTATATCAACTGAGTTGATAAAGCTGGAACAACTAACGTTTCAAACGCTGGCTCTTTAACAGATTGAGGAGCTGACAGACCGACAAGTTGGTAGCCTGACAAAGCTGACTGGTTGACAGACTGTGACGGGCTAACAAGGTAACAGACTGTCAGAATAAACATAGGCTGACTGCCTGACAGTCTGACAAGTTATTACAGGCTGACAGGAAGACAGGCTGACTTGCGAACAATCTAGCAGGCTGACAGGCTTGAAGGCCGACAGGCTGACAGACTAACAAAGCTGATTGGTTAACAAACTGACAGGCTGAAAAGCTGTCAGATTGTCAGGATAAAACGGAGGCTGACTGCCTGACAGTCTGATAAACTGACAAACTATTACAGGTTGACAGACTAAGAGGCAGACAGAAAGACAATCTGACAGGCTGATAGGTTGATCATCCAACAGGCTGACAGACTGCGTGACTAACAAGCTAACGTTTTGAAAGGCTAATATAAAAAGCTAAAAGACTGAAAGCCGATAAGATGGCAAGATGACCAGCTGATCTTGCTGTGTACTACCTTTAATCCGAGATGTGGTTTCCTGATAAGAGACAAAAAATAATTAAACAAGTTGTAGAGCAAAAAGTCCAAATAATTACTTATTCACTTATAACTTAATCACTTAATTAACCAGTCGATTACGTTTGTATATTAATTCCTTAGAATTAGCATTAACGAATTGGTAGTATATAAGGTGGGGCTATTGTTTATTACCCTACCATGCAGTGCACTCTCGTCTTCTCTTAGAGATGTGATAACTCTCAAAAAGACAGTTGGAAACAATTCTTACTTCCCCGCAAAAAGGAACAGGAAATTTATCACGCGCGAACTTTTGGAAAACATTTCCGAACCTTAGCTTGTAAGATATTTGAGGGAGTATCGAATAGGCCACTTCCGAGTTCCAAAAACCCTGACTTTCAAAATGAGGCTAGTTGCACAACCTTTTCTTGTGAAAAAGAGTTTTATTTGCATGAGAATGAAAAATGATTTCCATATAAAACGCTGAGCAGCTACCCTCGTTTTGAAACAGAGGCCCGGGTGAACTCGGAAATGGCTTATTGCCTCATATAAGATTTTCGAAGATAGTCTTGGATTGGATTCCAGGTACAGGATTCCGGATTCTTTGTCACTGAAACTGGGATTCTGGATTTCTGTGCTTAGCGGGATTCCGGATTCCGTGAGCTGAGTTGCCGATTCTAAAGCCCAGGATTCTGAATTTTATTAGCAAAAACTTCCAATATTATATCGGAATTCGGAATAGCTTACACGAGGAGAATGAAACTACTATTCTTTCCAAACCTCAGTTGTTACTACGGCTTGTGTGCATGTTGTTACCTTTTCTGCCAGAGTGGTTGGGCGAGGTGGGAATCCTGTGGTGCTGGTTATTTCCAAAGTTGGAGGTGGTAAAGTTGCAGATGGCTTTGACGAATTCTGTTGAGGAATTGGGCCTAAAAATGTGGATATTTGATAGTTAAGTTTAAAACACCGACTGCATTCACTTTGCTTAAACTTAGTGGTGAAAATGAAAAGCCAACGCAAGCTAAGAAAGTAAAGTCAAGTTGTTTAGGAAATTGGCAGTTATATTCTTGGTACTTATAATGTTTGGTTGCTGAGTAGAAGGAAAGCTCACGATTCAGTTAAGTATGCATGATCGGAAAGATCGTGCTCCAATTACCTATTGTGAAATTAAAAAAGAAAATAAAGCTCATAATTCAAAATCCTCGTCGTCTATCTTGAAATAGCCTTTTTTGTAATAGGAAGGAATCATTACCATTATTATTATTACTATTATCATTTTCATTATTTTTTCCTTTTATCTTTTCTTGTTTTCTTATTATTATTATTTGATTATTTAACTTTTTTTTTGAGGAAGTATTTTTTTCTTCATTCCTGTTTTTCATTCCGATTGTAAATGTCTCCTCTGATCTTTTCAGCTTATTAAAACTCCATCTAAAAAAAAAATGTCTTACAATATATTGTGCCAGGAACCTTAAACATAACACAGGTGCTTTTGGCGACAGCGTTTTTACGTTGATGGCGACATTGCACTGCGACTCTAAAGATCCGACCAGGGTTCTTGCGAAGAAAAGATGAAGCGGTATCTCTTGTCTAGTAAGGTAAAACAACAGAATGTTTTCTATCATTGTACAGCAAATAAAAATAGTGGGTTGTTTTCTGTGGATTTTCCATTTTATTAAACAACTACGTCTTTTTTTAGCATTGGAATTTGCTCCTATTAAAGTGTTCTAGTCCTTCTAAATTGAGCAATCAAACCGTTGGATATAAAACTGTAACTTCCCTTCAGTCGTAGTAACAGGGTTATCGTATTGCAATTTGACTCTAAAGTTTCGACCAAGGTTATCGTTAAGGAAAGATGAAACGTTGCCTTTCGTCTAAAGGGAAAAAGAAATGGGACATTTGACTTGCTAGTTTGTACAGGAAACCTGTTAGGCTGCTTGTTCCGTATATACAACCACCTTTTAGTGGGTTTGAAAATTGATCGTAGTAAAGGCAATCAATCAACGACCCCTCCATGGCCAGGTTTCGAACCAGGGATCCCTGTTCTCTCAAAACCTTGGTTTTGGCCTGTGTTTTGAAGCTAGTGGTTAAAAACGATTTATTCGAAATTCATAGTCGAAAGCAATTCTAACCGCTAAAACGGCAAAAGCAACCAGGTTAGGTTTGTTTGGTCGCAATTTTGTTGCTAAGTATCGGCGGATACCAATCAAACCGATAGAAATATAGTGAAAAGGTGTTCAATTCTCGCTCTCTGATCCAAACACGATTCACGCGCGCGAGGCAAATTTCTACAAATTTCTACACCTCACTTCACGAGGGTTCTGCGAGGAACTCAAGTGCCATCCACGCTTTAAATACCAACCCGGAGTTCCAGCTGGCTCGTGTTCCAACCAGGAGTAACCTCTAAACTCTCATTTACACTGTTTGATGGGATCTCCCTCCAGTCTCCGTCGCAACCAATGTATTGTGCATGGAGTTTCTCCCCAAAGTAAAAGCTACATGTGTTGTTAGCAGGGACGTTGATGGCCTTTTGAGTAACACCGATTGGAGAAATAGAAGATATGGACAAGTGTACCGTCTCGTCGGTGAAAAGTAAATCACACCCTGCGGTGGAAGAACAGTGAGTGCCAGACAATGTTGTCAAAAATTCAAAAATCTTTAGGTTCCTATTTTCATTACCCCATTCCCTGTGCTCGTTTCACATTTCCCGTCCCCCGATTCACATCTGCTGTTTCCCGTTTCCCGTTCCCAGTTCTATATTTTAGTAACGAATGAATCGCGGGTGCGACCCGAAGGTATGAAAGAATTGACAAACTTAATGACATACGCACAGTACAGATTCAGTAGAAGGCCTATGGTATTTACCCGATTAAGCGCTGTCCCCGATTACACGCCTTCCTCCAATCAATAAGCACCGCTTTTGGAAGAAAAAGAGTAAATGAGCGCCCCGCCTCCGAATAAGCGCCGAGGCCCTGATATAATCAAAATCAATACACACGTACGTTAATTATGTCATGGCTCCTGATTATGTTAATTAATAGAAAAACGGAAAAAATAATAATGCCGTAGTTAAAACAGTTCTTTGTCTCGTCCCACTTTCAAATAAACTCCGCCCTCGAATATGCGCGGCCCTCAAATAAGCGCCGAGCTTGAGGCGTAAAAAATTTAAACATCGCCGCAGCGCTTATTCGATTAAATATAACCCGATATCCGGCTCAATTTTAGCGGTTCTCGTACTTTCTCTCTCACAGCTACCGCTAAAATTGGGCCTGATACAAACTCTCTCACGTTTGTGCTCACTGCGGCCAGATTTTGGCCGCAACGTTGATTGGCTGTTGAAACAATGCCTGAGGGTCTGATTGGGTGTTGAAATCGACGGAAGTTGAAAGCGCTTACTCCTCGCGTGGTTGTTTTCGTCAATGATCTGCCGTCGGCGGAGAGAACGGTCGATTTTGCTGTCTTTTTTATTGTTTTATGGCCTTATGGTAGGAAAATATGCCTTAATATGTGCCATGGAAATTCAGAAAATTCATATGGTTGTTCATATCTTCTTCTTTTTGATTTAGACCTGCAGTAAAACAACAACACAACTAAGGAGAGCTACATATAGTGTGTTTGTAATATTGTTGTTCGTTTTATTTATAGGTCAGTTGGGCATGCAGTTTTAAAAGTGTCGTATCGTTTTTCCAAAGTGGCAGATAATATTTGCCTGGATTTATAAAAAATATATATTTTTTAGACGTCTGTTTCTCTAGTAAATTCGCAAATTGCAAGTGTACGCGGGTGATCCTATTGGGTGAATGGCGTACTGGCGGAACGGAATGGCGGAATGCATGGAATATTCTTAGTACAGAATATACTAAAAGACTGAATTTACAGAATATTCTAAAACAAAACACGGAATATACGGAATATTCTAAAACGCACAATAAGAGAAAAATGGTTTAAAAAGGATATGCAGTCAATCGACTACCATAACTCGAACCGGCACTACTGACTCGAACCTCATGCTAACTTGAAGTAATACTAATTTTTGTTTCTTTTCAGATCATTTCTATATTACCCTCAATAACTCCAACCACGTTTTAAGCGCCTGACAAGTAGAAAAAATTGACTTACCGTAATGATTCAATTTAGTGCCCAGGGCGCTTATTTACTTTTGGTGCCTCAAAGGAGCTAGAACGCTTATTCGGGACAGGACGCTTATTTCTATTTTGAGAAACAACCAAATGTTCAACTTAAGGGACTTGAAACCTGTTGAGAATGTGTCGATGGAAATTTCCTTCCTTATATTCACCTTTCTTCAAAAGGCCCGCAGTGAGAACAAAGTGCAAGTCAAGGTAAATGGATCAAGGAGACTGGAAAACTGACATGTTGTCCCTGGATCCTTCCTCGCCAGAACGACCAGCCGAGCAATCGCCACAAAATTTGAAGAAGAAATCATTCGTTTGCAGAATTTATGCACTCACAAGGAGATAAGACCACTGTTTTTGTAATGTGGCATTACCGTTCGTTTGTGTGCTATTAAATGAAGTACGTACCCGTACTCTTATGTATTATTAGAATGGGGACGCTTATTAACAAAACCACATTCGAAGAAGAGGGTGGGCTTATTGGAAGGAGGGCGCTAAATCGAATCATTACGGTAATCACAAGCAAGCGATCGGACAAATTTAGGCACTGGTGCGGCCCCCATTAATTGTTAGTACAATGGAAAATATTAAGGCAACAGAGAAATAGATAATTCGAGCGCGCCTGAGCGCGCCTAGCCAAAATATTAAAACTAGAACATCGTGTCGCCGTCTTTTCGAAAACGTTTTACCTTCTACGCCAACAGAAAAAGCTTTTGAGATCTCGTTTAATCTCGCAAGAAGTTAAATGTCATTGTGCTGACCGTTTTATTTTTAGTTGAAAAAATTAAAAGCCAAATCTATTTTTTAAGTCAGCGAGGCTGTATTTTTCCCCACGTATGAAAAAAAATTGCATACTAAAAAAACAAGCAACGGAACCAATTTTGGTTGGCTGATTCGGCAAATGTCAATCAATCCAAAAAGTGGGCGGAAGACGTTTCGTAGAAGGTTTGTATCAGGCTCTCTTTTCGTTTTTCCTTGCCCGCCGGAATGTTATTTTCAAAGCGAAATGAAAATAGAGCCTGATCTCAGGTTAGAGTAAATACGATACTCTATCGTCAAATCAAAAGGCAAAATTCAGTAACGTGCAAGAACCTTGAACCTGGTAACATTCATCTACTTGAAATATCAGGGGAAACGTTCATCCTNTACAAACCTTTACGCGCCGTGGAAAGTTTGCGTAAAGTTGGATGACCAACTTTACGCAGGTTTACGCAAACTTTAATTTTGCGTAAATCTCCATTTTCATGCTGTCGACGAATCCCTGTTAATTTCCATCTGTAACTGACCATGAACTAAACTCAAGCAGTAGAACACTAACAAATACGAGTAGAACGTAGCCATGCTTGTGCCCATGGACAGATTTTCGCCCTCACGGCCAAAAGTATGCAGCGGCAAAGAATAATCTGTTAAGATTAATCAAAAGTAAAACTTGTAAGTTAAACCAAGACAAGAAGAAGATTTCATTCAAGATAAAATTCTTCCTCGTTATGCACAAAATGTTTGGACTTCCTTACGCTAGAATAGACGTGTAAAGTGCTTCGGTGAGAGCAAAGACTAAGGAAGTTGCAAGTGACTGCCAAAGATTTTTGGTGCCACAAAAACCATATTAAGTCCTGAACATTGAGTTAAAGACTTATATAGTTAAGCTTAGTCTCGCTTTACTGAACATATGTGCGTTTTTGTGGGAGGAATTGATATATTGTTTTCCACTAACCATAGATTGAAAATACTGAATCACATCGGTGACGTATACAATGGCTTTAACCACATTACAGCAAAACGTTCACTCAGGTGCCTGATGTTTTGCCACCTTTTACCAGGACAAAACAGTTTCCGTGAATTGTTTTTAAGGAATGATAGCTGCCATTTTATTTCGAGAAGAGTGAGAATCTTATAAAAGAATCCATTTTAGCTCATCTAGATAAAATTTCCTCACATTCACAGAACACACTGTTTTGTCAAACGACATGGTCTAACGCAAGTTCCGCTTTGTGGCGAATTGCGATACAGATTAACGAAATAATCATAGTACATGAAAAAATTCGCAGTCATTTTGCGCAATAGACGTTATTCACGATACCCGCCATCTTCGCACGCGCTTTAGGATTGATGGGATAAAAGCAATGTCACGTGGTATTTCAGGGGGCAAACAAAAGATAAAATTTGCCAATGCGAGAAATCGCAGTCGACCTTGTTTATTCTCACAAAACGAAACGACGATTTAATAGTCATGCAAAATGTCTGGCTTGAGTTTCGACAAAATTAACGTAATTATTGCTTGCTGTGAAGGGGCATCTACACACGTACGGTCGCTACTGATTCAAAAAAGTAGCAATGGTCACTTCCAGCCATAATTTTCCATTATCGTCTTTAATATCTAAAAAAGTTGTTCATTTTTTGTTGTCACGAATAACAAACTCGACTGCGATTTCTTGTATTGGAAAAATTTCTCACTTGTTTGCCTACGTGGCATCGCTTTTATCCCATCAGTCCTTAAGCGCTTTTTAAAGATGGCGGCCGGCATCGGGAATGATGTCTATTTGTAACAGCACGACCGGACGGGGACTAACTCTAAGATTTAGGGTGGATTCATTTGCAACATATACGCGTATAGCTGTCGCATTTGCCTGCTGGAATTTTTTATTGTTTTTAAGCCTAAAAACAATAAAAAAAATTCCAGTGGGCAGATGCGACAGAATTCGAAATACGCGTATGTTGCAAATAAATCTACCCTTAATGCTTAATGAGAAATATCAACCAGCCGGAAGTCCCCGACTCTAAGAGGAAACTTCTTAACCTGAAGTGAGCAGAAGTTTAAAACGCATTCTTGTTTATACAATACATCCACTTGCAACGAGGCACGTATGCTGAGCCGACTACTTGTAAAAGTGAAGCGTCAGTTTAAACGTCAGTATACAGGAACGTTAAGAGCTAGAAAATTCTAATTTTTGAAAGCGTAATTTGTTGGTATTTTACTTACATACAAGACGGCCTGGGAGGTCTTATCCACACACACAGATATACACGCTTACTTCACGACTGATTGGACCCTATACGGAGAAGTATACTCTACTGTCTGTAATAACACGGAATGAGCAATGCTGCATAACCAATTAAGAAAAAAATTTGGGCCTGAATGTTTCTTTTTGTTTTATTACTTTCCACTTTTAGTTAATCATTTCTTTAAAAAAAAAAAAAAAAAAATGAATACTATAATTGTAGGTTGGCCTTGGTAAGAAAGGTATGACACAAAAACGGAGGTACTCTCGCCTTGACCATGCAATTTCAGATATCAATGCATTAATTGTAAACATCTTGAACTTTTTTAACGGGACGAGCATCACTTTTACATTCGTTGTTGCAAAAATCATTCCATCTGCTTTCAGAAAAGTTTGTAGTTAGTTTGCCGTTCTAATTAATGATTTTGTGCCAAAAAGATGCAACGGTGTATTCACCTACGTATTGCATCTTGCTCCCCGAAAGAGCTTTTAGAGATAAAAAAAAAGCGACGATATTAATTATTTTTCACAACGTTATGGGTTACTCAAGTTCAATTTTACCTTCACGGGTATTTGTGGGGCATTTGCCAAGTGTCTGACACTTTCGAAACAAGAATTATTTCCTCGTCGTATCTTTTAGTAATAAAAAATTTGCACGCCCCGATGTCCTTCTTTGAGGTCGTTCGAAATATCAGGAAACCGTCAGGTAACTATTATCCTTTTGTATATACTAAAACCGTGGATATTGTTTTTTGCGCGCTGTTATTGGCTACTCAAACTCGGGATATCCAGTGCTTTTCACCTCAAACTCGAATGCTTTTTTACCCCAAACTCGCGACGAGCAAATGGCTTCCCGGCTTGCTATCGTATATAAAACAAACGAAGTAATTTCAGAAAAAAACGAAGAAGTGGTTCGCGTCAACACGAAGAAGGCAACGAAATTCGGTTTGGCAGTTTTTCATTACAGGTAAAGCTTTGTCTGTTTAACCAAAATTGAGCGATGAACCCCCATCCCCCAACCCCCCAACCCCCCAACCCCCGACCCTGATTAGTGTTGTGACTGTGACAAGTGTTGTGACCGTGACAAGTGTTGAGACTCTGAGTGTTGTTACTCTAAAAAGTGATGTGACTGTGATGGAGTGTTGTGCCATGTAAGAGTTTTTCGTTTACAAATGCAAATTAACTCCATAAATAAGCTTAAAACGTAACTAAACGTGCTTTTTTATAGAATGATTTCAATTGTAGAAAGAATTCGCAAACCCTTTTTAAGAAATTTCTTCGCAAGTGCTTAACAATACCTAGTCTCCTTCGCAGCCGTTATTAGGGTCGTCACTCGTCACGCAACGCTCCTCCCCACTAAGTGGGGAGGAGCGTTGCGTGATGAGTGACGACCCTAATAACGGCTGCGAAGGAGACTAAACAATACCTTGAAAACGTTTATTTTTCCGGAAGAAAAGTGACGTTGGCGAGGCGAAACCTCTCTCGATTCAGCGGGCCCAACTATCTCGGAGCCTGGAACAGGCTACGTGACAACAAGACTCCTTGCCAAAAGCCCAACAGAAGCCCTTGATGGGATGACAACGTTTCACGGTTCAGATTGAGACATTAATTAAAATGACTAAACATAATGCAAATTAGCGTGTACCCACTGACTTCGTCTTCACCCTAAAACTATATTTTATTTTATTTCATTTTTCCCTACCTCATTATTATTGTTATTGTTAGTATTATTATTTTGATCTTCGCGACGATCGATGAATTACACCTGGGCTAAACTACGACAAGTCTGAGCGGGATAACAGCCAGTACGAGCGAAAAAAGAGTCACTTGGTTTGCAGCACGACTCCTAAAACCCTGTGACTCACGAATGACCGGAACCGGAAATGAACGTTTTGTTCCCACCGCTTCGCCGAAAGCACCGCAGAATAACAAAGTCATTCAATAAATGATAATCAGGTCAGAAAAGGAACACTATAGATGTATTACCTATAGGTTACACAGTTTCAATTACTTAAGCCTATTGCTATTTGGCTACACGGTATCGCAGTGTTTGCCTTCTATTCAAGCAGTATGTCACACAGGATTAACAAAGCGTGACCAACAGGACGTGACGTAGACAGCAGGTTTTCTAATTTCCTTGAAGGCATAATATTGTAATTTCATTAGACTTTACTCATTCGGCGATTCACAAGTTCAGTTTCGAAAAGGAAAACATATTGTTGACGTTCATGGTGTTTTTATCGTACAGTGGCACTCGTTCTGTAAAAGAGGTCGGAGAAATATTGATCCCGAAATCGCCAGTGGTATCTGCTTATTGCACCGTTTTACATGGACACCGAAAGCGTCGGCGACAATCCCTTGTGCGATGAAAGAAACATGCTGCTTTCTAGAGCGAAAAGCAGCTCTAAAGGAGCAGTGTTGGCAACTTGTGTTTCCGTGCTGGGAACTCTTAGTTTTGGTTATTGTATTGGTTACTCTTCTCCAGCGTCGTACGACTTAAAGTCAGCATCTAACTTGTCGATTCGTTTAAGCCGCTCGCAAGAATCATGGTTTTCAGTAAGTTACCAATTTCTTTACAGACATTTTACTTTAAAAGAGTAATCGAAGTCTAATTTTAAACGAAAATAAGTTAGTTCTCATTTCGTAAGTAACCGATTCAGTTGTATCAGACAGATAGTACAAAACAAAAAAAGGTTGGATTATATCACAGGTGTCCCAAGCTCACGTTACGAGTGTGTTACACATGTAAATTAACTTTCTCACAAGAGAGTCGGTGTCGCGTTTATACAAGCAACCGTTGAGACTTTGTATGAGAAATAAAATACTTAGGTCTGCGAACGCTAAATATGAAAAGAAAAAGAAAACAACTTTTCTGTGCAGGCTATGATTAGCCTCAAAAGAGGCCTTAGAAATACTACGTTTAAAAGAAGACCCCTTAAGGCCCGGTTCAAACGTCGAAATTTACACGTGCCGAACCTAATACCCATTAAAATAGTGTGGGTCGAACTCGAAAGTTCGACTGTTGATAAGAAGGTCGAACTTTACATTTGCCGAACCTAATTCGTGGCGTAAAGAAATATCATCCCTACTGGTTAAAACAGAGAAATAAACAGAAAAAAGTAAAATTCACCAGGCTAATCCTGGAAATTCTTTTTTTGATTTGTGTTCTGTGATGTTTACGAATATGTCTTGCAAGGCACTATTTTTATATATCATGTCTATGTGCGATGAAAACATCATAAATCTTAGTGCCTCTTATACTGAAAATATTCTAAATTGTTATAAATCTGAACTCTAATTAAACTTTTTTACCATAGTAGTAGCATAGAAGCCGTACGTAGCCAAGTAATTTTTCTTTTATGATAATATTCAATATATAGTTCAGTGTATAGTTGTTGTTCCGTTCTTTCTTACTTAACTTTTATTTTACTTTGTTTCATTTGTCATTGTATTGACTGTTTTGGTACTGAAATCTTCATGTCTAAGATAAAGTCAATAAAGTTGTTATTGTTATGGCAAGGAGTCAGCAGAGATCGTGATCATGAGATTTGGACAAAATAAAGTAACGCCATAAATTTTAAAATACATTTCGATTTCTTCATGGATATAAAGAAAAGCAAGTTTTTAGAAGACCGTTTTAAGCTGTCCAGTTTCAGTCTAAAAATCTACAACGTGAATGCTGGTAACCGTCGTTACGCTTCTGTGAGTTCTGTCCGTACAGGTGCGAAAACCCACTTAATAGCCAATCAGAAGCGCCGTTATGTTAAAAATTACGTTAACATAATTTATGCATTAGGTTCAGCACATGTGAAGTTCGACGTATGAATCGAAGTCGATCTTTTGCCGTTCTATTCGACCCAAATTGTTGGTTTTCACATGACGTCACTAAAACTCAAACTACGAAACTATCGATCCTATCGAGATTTACTTTCACGATGTATTAAAGCAGGTGAAAACTAATTTTCATACAAATTTTCGTGTCAAAAGGGTTCTTGGTTTTGTGATAGAGTACGCTTGAATTTCTAAGCTTTTGCGTGACGCGGCATTTACATGACGGCCAAGAGAGCTGTCGTGTACGTAAAAAAAATGAATTATTTCAGGGAATTTTGCTATCTAAAACAGTTCATGAATTAGAAAAAAGTACTACTTTAATGTTTAAGAGTTCCTCGAAGAATAAATTCACGCTTTTGTAGCAAAACTTGGTAACAAATGTTGGTGCCCGTCCGGATGGGCACCAGCATGGCGTTTCCATACAAATCTCTATGAATCTGGGTAAAACATTTCTTCGGATATCTCGTAAACGAAATATTTCTCTGACCTGAAATTTGGCGAGGGTCTTTGCATATTTACCTCCTTTCATTTCCCCGATTAATAATAATAATAATAATAATAAACCCTTTATGTAAAGAGGGTAGCACTTAATAGCCAAAGGCTAATAAACTTGTGGCCCTCATAAAATACACAGCTATTTACAATCTAATAAATATAGTAAGCTAAAATATATAAACAATTAAAATAAAACAGGATTCGAATTTTATAAAAATAAAAAATTATTAAATGATTAAAAGATGCAAACATTGTTGTTCCTTAAAAATCTTGGCAAACATGTTCTTTTTAAAACATGCTACAGAATCTAGTTTCCTAATTTGATCTAATTTCAATTGGTGTACTATTCCACAGTCTTGTTGCCGAAACAGCGAAAGAGTGTCCTCTCTCTGTTTCTCTTCTATATTTAGGACAAACAGCATTAATGCTTGAATATCTAGTGTTGCGGGAGTGCCGCTTATTATTCAAAATTAAGTGTTCATTTAGATAATTCGGCAAATACCCATTAATTCGCTTATACATTATTATGCATTTATCTATCTTATGTTGCTCATAAAACGGAATCCAACCTAGCTTGTTAAACAAAGCAACTGATGGTGTCATGCGATCGGCATAAGAAATAACGCGTGCCGCACGTTTTTGCAACCTTAAGACCCTATAAACCGACTCTTTATCACAATTTGCCCAAACAACGTTAGCGTAAGACATAACAGGGCGAATAATGCTATTATAAAACTGAAGTCGCTGTTTAAGAGGTAGACAGGCTCGAATCTTACGCAGTATTGCGATTCTAGGGAGGGGGCGGCTGTAATAACTCTTAAACAAAAACAAATTTCCCCTATTCCCTTGGTGGGGAGGGGAAAGGTAAAATTTTAGTACCTCAATGATTTTCTGCCGAGTCTCTAAATTGTCTTTAAATCTTTGGCGTTCAGTCACTAATTTAAATTTAAATAAAATCTTTCAATGGCGCAGAATTTATGTTTGGATTGTCGATAAGTCACAAACACTAAATGCCGCAAAAATCGTAGCCTGCGCAGCAAGCGTAGGTTTCGTTAAGGTTCGAGTGAACGCGTGCGCGTGCACGAGCGCTCTATAAAAACTTAAAACTCACTATAGAACTAACCGGCGCCTGCCAGGCAGGCTACAAAAAGCGGGAAATGGCATGAAGGTCCTGTACGCTTTTATTTCTGCTAACTCATGAAAAATGATTTTTCAGTCCTCTCTTGCCGTTGGTGCCCTATTTGGATGCATAATTGCTGGACCGATGGTGGACGTTTTGGGTCGTAAAGTCGCCATAATCGTCGGTGCAGTACCTTTTGAAATTGGGTGGTTTTTATTGATTTGCGCTAAGAACCATCTCATGCTGTACTCCGGGAGAATTATCACTGGCCTTGGGTGTGGCATTGAAACATTGGCAGTTGCGGTGAGTTCGGATTGTTTATGAGATATCCTATAGGCAGAGATAACCGACACCTAGGGTACTCAAGCAGTACTTGACCGACAAGCGACCGACAACTGACCGGCAAAAGTGTCTGTCGAGTGGAGACCGATACTCGGCAGTTTATCAGCTGAAAGTTTCGGATGATAGTTCCAATCAATATCGTTCCCATTTCCCATAGGTTGTACCGAACGCCAAAGTGAGTAGCCTCCCACGCGGGCTCCCACGCAGGTGTTCTTTTGCTTCGTCACGCGCAAGAAAGTGTGACAAATCCCTAATTAGAACGTGTGCGTGGGAGGCTATAAAGTGAGCAACACGGGCGAGGAATTGATTGGTTAACTAAGTACTACTCAGGAGTCGTAAAGATCCATCAACTGAATCCTGGGGATCACTTTCCACAGATCTCCCAAAATGAAGATCCTAACTTCCAATGTTCATTCTGTTGTAGGTGTACATCACTGAAATAGCCCCACCGCATCTCCGCGGAAGGCTTGGCTCTATAAACATTTTGGCAGTCACATCAGGCCAGTTTCTGGCTTATATCGCAGGGTATTTGTTTTATTGGGATTGGCTTTCCATAATTGGTTCTTTCCCCCCAGCTCTAGTGTTACTCCTTATGGTATGGATGCCAGACAGCCCGCGATGGTTTTTAGATAAAAACCGAAAAAGTGATGCTTTGAAGTCGTTACTGTGGTTACGCGGTAGTCATTTGGAAGTCGAAGAGGAATGTCGCGAGACGGAGGAGACTCTAGGTAACGCAATGGGTAAACATATATCCTTAGAAGACTAATTAGAGTGCTGGAAATAAAATGTTCAAGGACTACCGGTCCGTACCTTCCTGAAGCAGATTAATATTACTCCATTTGTCATCGAGTGGGAAGTGACTTTCGTCGTGAGGACCACTATTTCCTACACGGAGGAGAAGGGGCTTTATATTTCAATATTTTTAACAATCATTCCTCGAGCCTGAATGGGCTCTGAGTCAATAACCCATGAGGCCGAAGGCCGAATGGGCTATTGACTCAGAGGCCATGAGGGCGAGAGGAATAATAGTTTTAGTAAAATCCAACTAAATGGTCAAAAATATCGCGAATTAAAAAATTTTAGCTAGTTAAAGCTAGACTTTAATCCTTTTCTGCCGCCAAAAAGCCCACGCTTTTCGCTACTAGTGGGCTATAACATATAGCCTAGTAGTAGCTCAACCAATCAGAACGCAGCATTGATAATATACCACAGTAGTTGGATTTTACTAATGATTATTATTCGTGATTATGTATTTGTAAGGAATGACCAGGACTGAAGTAACTTTGTCGATCATGGTAATTGGTTTCTCCTGACTACAAATTGACCTGATCGATTCCGTGTTTATATTTCAGAACAACAACGAGACCAACGAATGTCATGGAAGGAATTCATCACCGCTCCGGTCGTAAAGCCTGTGTTGATTGGCGTGGGTCTGCTGTCCTTCCAGCAGCTTGACGGAATAAATGCGGTGCTGTTTAACGCCGCTGATATTTTCTCCAAAGCGGGAATAAAGGAACCGAAACTCGCTTCGTTACCTCTGACTGGAGTTCAGCTCATTGGGAACATGATAACTTTGTTAACCTTGGACAAAATAGGTAGACGCATCCCATTGTATAGCGGAGCATTAGGGATGGCGGCATCTCTTATTGGATTAGGAGTTTACTTTGAATTTTACCAAAAGCTTTCTTCCATTACCTGGCTTTCTATATTATCTTCAGTTTCATATTGTTTTTTCTATTCCATGTCTTGGGGTCCAGTCCCCTGGATAGTTATGGCCGAGATAATCCCTCTCAGAGCACGGGGACTAGGAACTGGTATCTCCACCGTTGCCTGCTGGGTAACGCTGTTCTTAGTCACAGAGACGTATTCTACACTCGCAGGAGCGCTGAGAAATCAAGGCGTCATGTGGTTTTACGCAGGACTATGCTTCTTTGCGTATATCTTTGTCGTTATTTTTGTCCCTGAGACAAAAAAAAGGTCACTGGAAGAGATAGAGTCCATCTTCCGAAATTAGCTATGAATTCAGTTAGAAGGAATTAACTGTTTGTATATAAGAGAGAGACCTTCAGTTGTTCATATCAAGGTAGCCCATTCGGACACCTTAGCACCTTCTATCAATTGGAGCCCTGATAAGAATTAAATATGGAGGATATTACATGCCCGCTTGTGAATGCGAATTTTATCTTTGAGTGTTCGACTCGATATCTCACGAGTAAGCGCCCATCCACAAGCGGGCATGTAATATTCTGTTTATTATATAGACCGACACCGATGGTGAGATGCTGTGATGCTGTTTTCCTATTGGCTGAGACTGAAGTACCCATGACAACCGTGATATCTTCACATGTGAAGGATAAAAATTGTATCTTTACTGGATACCAAATTTTCGTCACTGGAAAAATCCTGGTATTTCATCGGTGTCGATATAACGATAATAAATTAGTCATGAACTCAGCGGTTAGACGCGAATCAGAACTGTTTGTATATAAGAGAGAGATCGTTTATTCATTCATATCAGCGTAGCTCGTTCAGATGCCTATAAGCACCTGTTGTCAATTGAAGCCCTGCCAAAGATTTCAAATTTTTATATATAATATATCAGTTTGTCACTTTCTTTAAAACATGCGAATATACACTTGAATCAGTGATTTCTCACGAAAAGTAAGATTTATTTCTCTGAGGCCAGGCCCGGAGGGAGCCAAGGGTGCCTTTGATTTTGCTAGATAAATCTATCGAGGGGCCCCGGCCGCTACTCCCCGAGATTTATCTGCTAGCTGCGGTGTACCCCAGTTGTATTTGCAAATTGCTCCAGAATTCCGTTGCCTTAGGCAAGATGGCAAACTGAAACAGAACAAACGTATGATTTGTATTTGTAAAAGACAAAGGAAATGTTTTACCTATAATATTTTATTATCCCACGCATTCCAGCTCATTCTTGGCACCCTCGCATTCAGTGTAGTCTCAATTATATGTCAGTTCTGACACTGATTCCTCTCAATCGTGGGCAATGGAACTTCCTTGCTTCCGATCCTGATCATATCAGGCTCTGAAAATGAGGAAATTAGGCAAGCTCTCCACGGAACCCACATCCGCAATGAAATAATTGAATGTCGGTAAAACGATAAACGGAAGGTGGAATAAGCCAACGAGCTGACGCCTTGGCCTTTTTTCCCACTACTAAATCGTATTCATGAACTATGTTTTTACTTTTGGTCTTTAAACTAAAAAAGAACCTCCGCCAAAGACGCTCTGGTTTTGTTGGCTAAAAAATTAAACTTGCCGCGCCTTCTAATCTAAAAGCTCTAATTTTGTTCGCCTTCCTCTTCTGACACCCAATTCGATTTGACGGAAATACGTCATGGATAATCATTAAATGCACATTAGCATGTGGTCCAGTTAATCCCGCCGTTTTATCCACTACTCCAGGTCAAGTCCGATGTCGTGTATCCGAAGTAATCGCCATGCAACAATTTTCTTTTCACCTTTTTTCCCTTGGTTATGCTTTCATGTTTACGGGCTTTTACAACACTATACTTAACAACAAAAAGTGAACTTTCAATCAAGTCATTCAATGGTCACGGTTTTCAATAAACTGATTGAATAAAGCCCGCAATAAAGATATCATGTTTATTAGCAGATTTAAAATGATTATGAGGTCGGAAAGGTCAGACAATAAGAGTGGTTTGGGCGTAAAATTAAAGTTATCGGTCAATTTCCTGTCCACATCATTCGCATATAATAAGAATTAGTAATGAAAAAATGTTTATTTATAACTTTACATCGAAGGATGTTTAGAAATTGTCTCGCTTGCTAGGAAGTGGAGCTGTTTTGAATCGAAAGCATGACTGAGAAATGTTGTTCTTTCACCCTGAAACATTTAGTTTTCGTGACTATTGTACAATTTATCAACACTTTGGATGGCTCGATGACAAATGTTTTAAGCGTAACACACTCAAGCGACAAAGGAGATGTATTCGAGGTCTTGGCAAACGAGTCGGTTTGTGCGACGAGTTGTGAAAGGTTTGGGGGTTTTCTACAAAAGAGCGATCGTCGAGACAGCAGTAGTAGCCACAAATGTTCTTGTTATTGTGCTAATTTGACAAAACCCACTTTTTATCGGACCAAGATAGGACAGGAAAGCTGTGTCAAAGATATAGAGGTTTTGGCTGACACAAACGAAGGTAAGCATCACTGGCATGATCAGGCATCCTAGCTAGATGTAACACTTTTCACTTCATCCGAAATCGTTGAAAAACTGGCCGTGTGCTCAACAAGTCAGAAAAGTGCTACAAGGAGGACCTCAGCAAATACTAAGAATGTCAGCTATCAAACATATTTTTTGCCTTTAATCTTTTGAGAGTTAGACAATCCGAGCCCTTAGTATAACTGCACATGATTTCTCATGAGAAAAAAAAATACGTTATTGTCCCGAAAGAGGTTGAGTAATATCATTTATTTAAAATGATGATGCTCTTTTACAGTGGGACTTATCTTTTAAGGAATTTTCTTGATAACAGGAAAATTCCATGATTTTTTTTATAAGAAAAGGAACTTGGACTAGGAAACTGGTAATTAATTAAGTTAGCACTTCCTTTAGTCCATAGGGCCCCCACCCAAAATGCAAAAAAAAAAAAAAAAAAAACTAGAACTGGAAGTTGATTTCATCCAATAAAAGTAACTTTAAAATTTAATTTTCTACAGAGAAATGCTACAACGCTGAGAAATTACAAGTTTTAAATCTTCATACAGACGGAAAAGCGAGAATAAAACCGGATGGCTTCTGTGAGCATCTACAAGTATCTGAATGGAAATATTATTATAATGGTTCATGGATTTCGTCTTCATATGACACCTTCTCGTCAAACACTACAAGACACAATGGGGCTGGAAAGAATATGTTACGAACATTTCTAACGGTAGGAAGTGCAACCTAAGAGTGATTAGCTTGTCAACGCTAGGTGCGATAACTGAATTAAATGATAAGACATATGGCGATGCGCGATTAAGGGTTGAGTTAAAATCAAGTCAACGTCAGATATCTGATAAAGATTAGCCTGTACACAGACGTTGGTTTTTTCTTCTTTCGACTATGTTCTCCTTACCCAGCCAACCCCATTTCCATACGCGCGCTCGACTAGACCTCTAAAGGGAAATACGAGGTCTGTGGACAGGTTAGATAGAGATAAGAAAAGGTGATAGAAGACAGGTCACGTGAATACTGTCGGTATAAAGTATGGTTAAATCCCCTCTCATGAGAATAGATGATGCACTCCGACCACACCCTGTATGGAAAAAAAGCCTCAAATAAGATGCTAAGAGCTTTTAAATACTATACTACTCGCTAACATTTGAATTGGCAGACTTTAAGATTTGTGAAGCAAATAGAATAGAATAGAATAGAATATGGCTTGGTGGCTTTCGTTTTACATAAATTGTTATGCTTTGGGATTTTACCTAAAGATTCAGCTCCAAAGTTTCTCTTAATCTTGTGTCTACTAATTGACCTTGGGCAGTTATACTGGTGTTGAGAAGGTTTCTGCTGTAGGGGAAAATAACATAACTGTCTTTTTCTGTGTAGTGGAATGGACATCTAGCACCATTTTACAGAGGCTTGCTGATCAAAGTAATAGTTCGCTGCACTTATGGCGGGAAGACAGACAACAGATGTGTCATGCTTAAAGCTGAAGGAACTCACGTTTGTGAGTATTGTTTTTCTTACAGCTCTTGAAAGGGTGATAAGATCTCCCCTTTTTATATAGTTGATATTTTATTTTAAAACAAGTAGAAGAATTTCTGGTCTTGGAAACCCTGGGTAACCTATCCTATGCTTCGGTGTCGGACGCAGGCCGACAGTTCTTCGGACAAAGGCCGAAGTCACGAGCAGCGAAACGCGGGTCATCATAAAGACTTGACCGAAACAAGAAACCGCGCATGAAAAGTCTGTGCCACTCATTGTTTATTGTTTATTGTTTTGTTTGCCAAAAAATTATACAAATCAAATGAAATCTAATTACTTAAACTCTCATGGCGAGGAAGCCCAAGAGAAACCACCGGGCTTATAAGGAATGGGCTCCCTCAGTTAGATAAATAGAACAAAATATTATCATAATTACACATGGAAAAATCAATGGCAGAGCTACAGTAAATCTTAAAATAAGTATATTAGATAGTCGTACTAATCATAGTTCTAGGCTAACTCAGTGTAGGTCTTGGAGAAACTAGGTAAGAATTCTTGTCCTCACGTGCTATCTTTATAAACTTTCACAAGGCAACCTGATGTATTTAAAATCGTTCAGCAAAAATCAGCCACTTTCTTGTGGAATAAAATCAACTGAGCCAATTGACTCACTCACGTTTGATGTAGTTGGTTACAAAGCTATGATGGAATGGCGGGGTTAGATGATAAAAACACACAAGACGCAAATGAATGTTTGTATTACAGGCACAGGAGATCATTCTGAAAAGAGCTGGTACAAGTAAGTCGCGCAGTCGACCTTAACTTGATAACCTTACTTTAATTACTACCTTCGGATTAGTCATACTGCTCATGAAACCTGTAAAACGAAAACCGTACTTTTTTCAAATGAACGTCCTTTTTTTTCAATCATAGATCATGAAGTTCCAACATATACGACAATAGTCACGCCATCCTCAGAGCCAGGCACAGGCTCTTTAGTGTCCAGGCTTGACGAAGAGCAGTTGAATAAGGTTGTTTAATCTGTTTCATTTTATTATTTGTATGAATTTCTGAAAGTGCATATAAACCTTAGCGGTCAAGATTCGCGTGCAAAATGCCCTATCGCTTCGGTTTGTAAAAGTAACGTAGATTTTGCAATTTTGCCCGCTCAGAGTTTTGTGACAGTTGACAGTTTCATTATTGGATGTCACGTGATACCGAAATAGCCAATTAGAGCGCACACTTAGGGAAGAAATCTCCCAGCAGTTTAATCAGGGACAGCCGGGGGGGGGGCAGTTTACCCCTTTAATAGCCTTTACGGGGATGCTCAGCCCGAAGGGGGCACCTTTTTCAGGCGTTTGGTACTAATGAAATGGTAGGGAGTTTACTCCCTGAAATATACAAAAGGGGAGGGAAATCTGTCATTCCAATATGTGAAAGTACCTGAAAGGGCTGACAGGCGCATTTTATGGCTGTGAAAAATACGAGAAAACTTCGTGGTTTAGTAGTTTATTCATATTTAGAAGACGAGGCATTATATTTTATAGCATTTGAAAAGAATACAGCGTTCTCAACTATTTTGCGAAAGGGGTATCACTTGTCAATGAAAGGTATACGAATGTGTTACCTTTTCTGACAAAAATGATATTGCTGATTTTCAGTGTCACGTCTTTCAAAATTGATCGAAGTTAAAATCAAAACCGTTCAATCGATGAAGTCCAGAATCTGCAAGGAAATGAAAGGAGGTAAATATGAAAAGAACCTCGCCAAGATTCAGGACAGAGAGATGTTTCATATACGAGATATCAGGAGAAATGTTTTATCCAAATTTACAGAGATTTGTATGGAGACGCCATGTTGGTGCCCAACCGGATGGGCACAATTTGGCGGCCGGAAACCAACAAAAACGTCTGTCGCCGCGCATGTTTTGCTACAAAACGTTGAATTTATCTCTCGAAGAACTCATAAAACATCAAAGTAATATTCTTTTAATACATGAATTGTTCGGATAGCAAAATTAATACGTCACTTTCTTAACCTACATGACAGCTCTTTTTGCGTCACGCAATAGACTAGAAATTCAAGCGCATTCTATCACAAAACCAAGAACCCTTTCAGAGCGAAAATTTGTATAAATATTAGTTGATAGTTTGTAGTTTGAATTTTAGTGGCTTCATGCGAAAACCAAGAATATGAAAGGTTAAGGATTGAACTTGGGGCGGAGCCTCCCCGTATAAAATTTCACTGAGTACCCCGTCCCTCCCCCGGGGATACAGTCTTTAAAGTTAAATACCATAATATCAAGCATACGTTGGAGAAAGCTTGATATTTACTTTCTCTTTGTTCACAGACAACACGAGGCTCTGTGACAGTATCAGTACGTTACACCTCACTTCCAACAGAAGATTACTCTAAAGGAAGTAGCAGGGAAATATGGGTTATTACATGCCTTGGTCTGTCAGCTCTCCTCCTTATTATTGGTAGCGTCATTTCTGGATTCATAGTCGTGAAATGTCGACGCAATTGTCGCAAACCTGAAAGAACAGGTAGGTAATTAAACTTTAGATCTTAGGTGTTAACCCTAAGGTTAAGATTTTTCCCTTAACAAGCTACAATCAGAGACAAAAGTAGTTGCTACACTCGTCTAAAACGCGCGCTTTTATCGCTGACAATTTCATCCATTTTATCATACGTGATTGCGTAATTCTGTTAAAATGCCGTAAATCCCCCACCCCTGAATCAATGTTGTTTGTGGTTGAATGAAGACTTGAGGCTTTAAATTACAATATTGTTTTGGGGGTGAGTGGGTTGAGGTACAAAAGATGATGGAATAGATTTGTCCACTATGCAAACAGGGGCCATTTTATGGAAGTCTCCAACACTTTTGCTCCTTATTATAGCGAAAGCAATATGTTCATACCATTGGCTTATTAAATAAACTAGTTTGATTATTCATCATCAGGGCGTTGTCAAGTTTCATAAGCATGCTAATGTTTTTAGAATAGGTAGTGGTGTAACACCTACATTAATTTCCCCCTTAAAGCTCTAAGGTTTCTTTGATTCATTTTAGTATCTCGCCGCCCTCTTCGAGTTTCTTCTGAACATGCGCAGCACACGTCAGAGGAGAATGCGGCCATGCATGATTACGAGTATGTTCACTATCCCTGTCTTGTTGACAGAGGCAGCACTCTTTCTAAGGGTAAGTCAAATATTACCATGAACTACACAGCTATTAAAACACATGTTATTCAATTTGACAAGGCTGTTAACGGCTTAGGAATAATGGTAAAAAACATATCATAAAAATGGTCTTTAATATGAGCTTGTAGCTGCAAGTAGGTTGGACCAAAACAGGCCATTTGTTCCTGTGGTTGCATACATGCTAGGAAGATAAGTAGATAAAAGCGTTCTCGAGTGTTAAACAATGGAGATGTTCATTTTTTCTTTGTTTTTCTTTGTTGTTTATTTGTGTCTTGCTTGTTTTTGTTGTTATTGTTTGTTTTTTTTTGGGGGGGGGGTTGCAAGCAGGTGTTATAGAGTGGGACTTATGTTGATCATGTCTTTGCTAGCCTGTTGCGCTGTATTTACAAATATAGCATTCGTTTGCAAGTTATTTTACAATATAAATTTTTACCATCCCTTTAGATAAGCGCAGGTGCGAAAGAAGCGAAGACAATAAGCTTGTTATATGGTCAAAGAACAGCAGTGGTAACCCCACTCAAACCAACCAATCGACACAAGCAACTCCACCTCGCCTGCCTTATCAGCGACTGCTTACAAGAGTGACATCCACACCGCCACCTGAAGGTGATGTAAGCGCACCAATCGCCTCACCAACTGTGGGACTAGGGGAGGAGTTTCCATATCAGAAGCTTATAAAGACGGTGGCCTCTACTGAAAGTAGCGGACAGCAGGGGAATGACAATGAAGAGAAGCCTGAAGCAGATGTCTCATTGTATGATAAAACATCTCAAAAACAATACCAGTCTTTATCCCTGAAAAGAAATCCAACGGTAAGAATTTTTTTAACCCTTGAAAGGTTTTTCATTATTATTATTATTTTTTTTTTGGTCGACCTATGTAAGGAGGGAAGTTTTGCTTGTGAAGTACGGTATCCTGGACTTTTAAATCCGGAATTCCGCTCAAGTAATCCGGAATCCAGGTTTCAGTGAGAAGGAATCGGGAATCCATTAACTGGAATCCAAAATTCACAAAATGGAATCCAGAATCCAAGACTGTCTTGGATTAAGGTGATGTTACACGAGACGATTCGCAACTACGATTTTTAGCGCAACACCGCGTTGCAACATTGTTGCGACATAGTTTCGAATGGTTACAGCATTTTTCCGACATTGCAACGCTGCGTTGCACCAAAAATAGTCGTCGCAAGTCATCTCGTGGAACCTTTAGTTCACATGGGGCGTGTTGGAGACTTCGGGTGAGCGTTTAAAGCGTGCTAATAAAATAATTGGAATGAAAGCTGCATCGAAGCCTAACTTCTTACTTGTTTACCGTCAGCTGCACGCTTCAAGAATTCATCTCGACACGGCTAGGTTTTAACATTCTTTGTTGAAAATTTGTTTACGGCATCTTTTTATCGGTAATTGATGAACTTTTTCTAGCAGTGACAGGTTGATCTCTGGTTTCAAAAGAGTGGCGAGCGAAGGGGCCACAAGAAAGAAAAAAAATCAATTTTCATAACGTTCTAATAATTGGAAGGTTCAGGAAACTATTATTTTACAGGGCGGCGTGCGTACAGAAAGCTCTGACCATTTGCCTAGGGAGTCCAGTTGAGTTCTTCTGTCCTTTCCCAAGTTAAATCTCCCGACGGCAAAAGAGTCAGGGACGAAGGAAATTTAGTTGACGGCGTTTCTTGTAGAATTGTTACGTTAAGTTCTAGAGATCAAGTAGGAAACGACCGCACTAGAAATATCACACCGTATTGAAGGATTTGCATGAAAAAGAATTAGCTTGCATTTGGGTAATAAATTCACTAATGAGAACATTAATTTTCTTTCTCCACAGTCTTGTCCTAAGGAAAGTGACACAGGATATATGCTGATGGAAGGAGCTTCTCCTCCCGAAAGAATTTATGAGTATGACTACACGGAACCTTTGCAACCCAACACACTATTCCGAATCTCTCACGGTGACACCGAGCAGGTTATCGTTCAGGTCTCTATTGGCGACCTCAGTGATGTTGCCTTAAGTGAACATCAGTTGCAACAACAACAAAGACAACCATATGACCAAGTCATAACATCTTTAGCTAATACTGATGAAAATTACGAAGACATAGAAAACATGAATGTAAAGAACAGTTTACCCACTGAGGGAAACGATGTTGGACACGGCGGTTCAGAGTATAAATCTCTGTCTGCTGGATGTTATGAAAACTTATCAGGAGAGAACGAGGGACATTTGTCGGGGAGAAGAACCGATCCCGAGGAATATGTTGAGATGGGAGAAAGAAGAAGCGTACTGGTTTCAGATTATGCAGATCAATCTGGTTGCAGTGGTTTTCCAAACATTGATGAAGAAGGACCTGAATACCATGTCTTGGAGGAGCTGGAAACGAGTGAAAGTAAGTCTTTTGAACTGATTTTTTTTTAGCTTGGATGCCAGAGAAACAGACTGCAAGCCTGTTCCCGCAGATCTTCTATATTTGTGATCTCTTTTAATGCGTTCGAAAAGTGGAGGAAGACTCTGGAATTATTGAAAAGACTTCCTCGCTTGTGCCAATTTCAAGAGTAACTTACATGTACAAGTGAGCCCATTGTCTTGGTGTCTGACAATGATAGCTGCACTTGTAAATTAATTAATATACTTGTAATAGTTTTACTCAATTGACCCTTGGTTGCAATACATTTATCATAATAATAATAATAATAATAATAATAATAATAGTAATAATAATAATTATTATTATTATTATTATTATTATTATTATCATTATTATCTATTCATTCATTACTTCAGCACTTACTTCTCTAGTGAGCAAGTCTCTATGGGAATATATAACAAATAGAATTTTCAAGACATAAACTCGCAAAATTTTACATGAAGTACTTTGTCTACTTAAGTACTATGGATCGAAAAACGAATTTGAAATGCCAAACATGAAGTTTCTACTTTCAATCTAGGGCGATTTACAAAGAGATTTTTATCATGACTCCTTGTGAATAAATATTTAATAATTCCATTAAAATCACACTTTTCTTGCAGATAAGAAATTTGATGATGGTGATGATGAGGACGACGATGAAAATGAAGATCGTGGTGATCATGATGAGTAATGAGATTAAAGTCTGATGAACGATGGCAGTGCAATTCACTATAGTGAATTGGATAACCGGTCCGCGTTACTATTTCCCTGCGAGGACATAAAATATTGGAGGAGTGACAACTCTAGTTCACTGGTTTTCAAAAGATCTCTTTTAAAAAGGATAAAGCCATAGGGCAAATATAAAGGTCCAATTTAAGTCTTGTCAAGATGACATTTTAAAGGGAGTGAAACGTGTTATAAAGCTTTTAGTGGATTCAGTGCCTATATAACTCCTGGCCTAACACCCTTCAGAACTCACATCCACATTAGAAAGCGTATGCTGATCCATCTCTTTTAGTGCAGAATTCGCATTGATTTCTCTTTTTCCACATTTTCCATCACCGAGAAAACATGCACGTAAATTTGCTGAACAAACAAATGATGGTGGTTTAAAGTTATGTGGCTTTATTCAAAGTCGTGGACAATCAAATTGCCTTTTTTAAAAGAAAAGGATAGTGTTTCAGGATAGCAAAAATTTTTCAAAAATTTATATTTGAAATCCATTCGATATAATATGCATTTGAGCGAAGCGAATACTCTCGAATTGTTGCACTCGTTGACCATGTGAAATTCTATTTGTCCTAATGACGGTTTGAACAAACTTATTGTGTTAAAAATATAGCTAAAAAAATATAGCCAATATTTGTAAATTATGCTGCTTATTTTCATTTGTGGAAGTCGTCAAGCGTGCACCAAAATAAAACATCAAACATTATTTTTCTTGTGACTTATATTGTATTTTAGTATAGGTGAATACATGGGCGGCAAATTTCCAAAGGCAATTATAGATATTTGCTCAACAACGTTTTAAGAGGAGAATTTTTTTACCTTAAAGTAAACAAAACTAAAAAAAAAACACTTCAAGAAATTCCAATCTGAAGATAACAACTTTTCACCGTTGCGTATAAAGTCAGTAAGCTTCAAATGAAATATGTATATAATGCATTTCGATTTCAACGTTATCTAGGCTTTTGAAGCTATATTGGTTGTTAAAGCAATTATATATACATAATTTATTTCCAAAAGGGCATTATTATATAAATTTTGTATTTCCAAGCATCGATACTTATACATATAATATATTTTTTTTTACCTTCACAATATTATTATTACAGTCATTATACGTTCATCACAGCCGAAATGGCGTTTAATAATTTTTGTAGTACGTGTAGTCATAAGAGAAAACAGCAGGAATGGGGGCACATGGGAAGGGGGGGGGGGAGGGTGGTCGTCAGTGCTTTCTCAAAATAGCAATGAAATTTGTACCCATGCTAAGGGATTAAAGGAGCTGGGTGACAAAATTTATCAAAATTCGGATAGTGGGAACTGCTACAATTTGAGTGAAACATAAAAAAAAGGAAATCGCTTAAAGCGCTAAAAAGAAGGTTAAAATCACAAAAAATTGTGACACAATTTTTTTAAAATCACGGATGGACTAACTAGAAGAAGATTAAAAAGGTTTGCAATTTTTTAAAACTATAGCAGTTTTTCAAAGTTCATTTTTTTGCTTGTAACGTTTGATATAATGCTTGGGAGACATATTCGTTTGACACGAAGTTGTGATTTTCTCATTCACAAGAAATTTCCCATGTTCCATATAGCGTATAACGACGCGTAAACATAAACAAAATGAACTAACCAACCGAGACACAGCGCCTTTGATGTGGCTGAAAATTACAGCTGGTACTTATAATTTGCGGTAGTGCGTTTAGTTAGTGTTTTTCCCACGGCAGGATTGCGGCTATATCAAAACTTGCGGGGTTCACTCTTATGTGGTCAATTTTCAACTAGACTTTGCGGAAATAACTGATTATCTTTTGCAATAGGATAGGATAGGATAGGATAGGATAGGTGCTTTATTATCAACAGAGCGCCTACAGACACATGTGTTTACAACGATAATAAAGATTTTCGTGCAATTATTACAGAGGTGTACATTTATAAAATTTATACTACTATTAAACAAGGTTATATTAAACGCGTCTATCTCTTTCGCGGAAGCGATCATATACGTATTCAGCCACAATTTTTTGCGTTTTCTCTCCTTGCTTCATACTTATCAACGTTGCAAAGGCAGAGCTTGGAGTCATCATAGAGTCAAGAATAAGATTAGTTTCCTTTTTTAGCGTATTGAACAGCTCTCTCCAAGGATCCCTATGGGTTATGCAATTCATCAAAAAATGCTCCTCGTCTTCTATTCCAGTTTTACATAATGGACAGATTCTTTGGTCTGGTGGTTGATAGGGTTTAACGTATCGTCCAGTTTCAATTGCTAGTTTGTGGTTGCTCAATCTTAGCTTTGTGATTGCTACTCTTTGATTGATGTTTCTTACATTTGTGAGGTAATTTTGGTAGTCATGGGTAAGTTTAAATTTCCTAAAAGTTCTTAGTTTGTTTTTTTGATGCGGGTCCTTTCGTTCATCATTGTGTATTTCGCTAAGTCACCCCACCCCGCCCGCGCGTATCTCTTTCTCCCCCTCCAGCCCCTACACTCTTAAACTGAATGCACGTCTGCTAAAAACAGAGAAGCTGAACGAGCCCTTACAGAAACCAGAGCATGAAAGACAACTTGGGACCTCTCTCTTGCTTTCTATTAAAAAATGAATTCCCCACATGCACACCAGGTCCCAGTTGTTCAAAAGGTGGATAGCGCTATCCACCAGACAAAATCTCTATCCAGTGGATAACGCAATTGATTTCCCTAATATTTGTCCACTTGATAGCTATTTATCCGGTGGATAGCGCTATCCAACTTTGGAATTACTGTGGCCAGGAGTAGTTTTTTACCCCCGCTTTAAACCACCAGGCCCCAGTTGTTCAAAAGGTGGATAGCGCTATCCACGGGATAAATCTCTATCCACCGGATAGTGATTTATCCGATGGATAGCGCTATCCAGCTTTTGAACAACTGGGGCCTGCAGGAGTGGTGCAGTCATATATTTACGCAGGGACCAGTGGCGGTTCTAGGAGATGGGCCAGGGGGACGCCCTTCCTTATTTTTGGACCAAACTGAGGCATGAAGAGCCTAAAAAAATTTTTTTGGAGACCGCATAAAGTGTGCATTTTAGTTTTGAAAAACGTGCCTAAGCCGTGCCTAAGTTGTGCCCAAACTGTGCCAAATCTGTGCACAAGTTGTGCCAAAATATTGAGTCACTCGGAAAATCGTGTCCAGCCTATCAAGCTCCACAGCGAACGAAAAGGGCGCACGGCAGTTATGTCAGTTTTGAGGTTTAGGAAGTCTAGAAACACGGTCTGACGACCTTTTTATCCCCTAATAAGAAATATGACTCAGAATACGATTAGAGACAGCAGGGAAAGCCCCGACAAACAGGAAAATGGAATCTTAAACAGGTTAGCGTATTTAAAGTAAGTGCTCAGCTCAATTACATTGTTGATATGCTAATTTCATCGATGTTAAAAAATTTCTAAGTAGGTTTCTTCTCCCCTTCTTAACGGAGCGTTTAGTTGGAAAGAAATATTTGTTTTTTTCAGGAGGGCAGATTTGCATTCAAAAAAAGAATTTACTTGTGATATGACTTATAAAATGAAAACGAAAAAAATTGATTGCACGCCGATGAGTTTTGAAGCAAAATAAATGGCACGTCTCATCGATTATTATACGATCAAAGCTTAATTTGCTAACAGAGCCAGAAAACAAAAACAAACAAGCAGCTTGAATTATTTTACTACTAAGTGTAAATCCTACTTTTTAGTTAGAGAAATATTTTTAAAAAGCAGCAGCATTTTTTATTTAAAAAGCAACACGCGTTGGCATGCGAGTGAAGGTTTCAAATTACCACTTTGTACTTTTCATGTTGTTATGCAAATTCAGGCCAATTTTACCGCGATCCCAAAAAGTACTTTCTACGACTTTTATTGGCTATTTTTGTGCCTTACTTCTTTAGCTTTGTTTTTGTTATTATGGCTTCGACTTTCTTTCACGATTTCTTTTAGAAACGAAAGAAAGCGAGTCTATAAAATTGCATGGCAATTGAAAAGGTTCAGACCGCATATATCGCGGGTGAATTTCCTCTTTATCCTCGGAGTAAACACGGACTGTCGAAGAATACTTCAATTTTCCAGACTTTCGGCGCGGCTCAAAACTTACACTTCCTATACTTCTAACTGTATCGTGTTTGATCTGAATTATTTTTGTAATTCGTACCAAGTTTGTTCTTTTTTGCAAGTCGGGTTACAAAGATTTTCAAAAAAGTGCCCAGCGTTGAATATTTGTGCCTAAACCGTGCC